CTCAACATGATCGCCGCGGCATTCTGCAGCTGGTTTTCGTTCGGTCTGGAGGGTCTCTTTTGGTTGAAGATGAACCGTGGACAGTACCTTGCAAGCAAGCGGAAGATGGCTTTAACAGCGCTTAACGTCTTCCTTGTTGCGTTGTGCTGCTTGATTGTAAGTTTTGTGCTTCTTGATCCATGGGAATTTGATACTAACACGCAATAGTGTGGAATGGGTCTTTGGGCTACAGGAACGAGCATTCAGATCAATGCGCAGTCTGCACACAAGCCTTTCTCCTGCGCATCTAATGCTTAAACGACTCTTCTGTGTTTGGTCGTTACGGAATATTCTTGTAGATTACATGGCTACAGTTACTTCCTCAGACGGAGTTCATAGAATTCAACGTTATTCAATGATCCATAACCCAAAGTTTTGTTTTAGCTGCGCACGTTAATTAACCAAGGATCTACAGACAGAAATGGCAAAAAGAAGTAAAAGCCTTTTTACGGAACGATATGGACATATCGCTGTCTCACTAAGTTGGATTGGCCGGTTCAACTGTAGGTAATCCTATGCTCTGCTTAGGTGAGCAGAGCACAGGACCTCGGGGGTATCTAACTATGTAGGCTACCTCCAGGGTTGCCTACATAGGTACTTAGATATCCCTAATGGATTACACAAGAGCATTTAACCCCTAAATAACTCAATAACCAAAAGATCATAACAGAACATCTGTTTGTCTCTGCCGCGGCATATATTAGGCCCTAACATTTGTTGGGGGCCAAGGCCTCTGATCGGATCACCTGGTTTGGAATATGTTTCTAAAAACCGAGGTCAGTGCGGTCGCAATATTAAATGAGGACTGTGGTGAACTAATATGAGTGTGATGGTTTAGTTTTTATTGAACCCGTTGACAGCCACCCATCTGTGAACCTGGTTTTGGCTCTGGGCCCGCGCCACGGGCCGAAGGTGGACCTTCTGATTGACCCTGATTAACCCTGCAGAGCCAACAGCCAACTGCTCGCTTGGCGCTGCGTATTCTCGGACTTAACGAGTTAATGGGGGAAAGGGGAAATTGCAAAAACTCGTGGCGGGGAGCCGGAGCATCCGTACCTATGCACGTTGCCGGCCACCGGTCAGCACGGAGATTGGGTAAGACATGTGTGGGACGGTGATAGGAGTCTATCCAAAATCATTCGTATCCGTTAATTAAAACTATTAACGAATCATTTGAAACAAAGGGTTTGGCCCCATTTCAGGGGTCCCACTTTGTTTGAGGTACTCCAATGAAAGACAATTTGAATGCTTCGCCTCGTCCAGGCTGAAATATTTGATTATTTACGTTCCAAAGTTCCTTCTCTTTAACAACTCCACCGGCCAAGGAATTCGATCCCTTGGCTACTCTCGGCACCGGCGGTTTATCAGGACGATGAGGTTTAACGGGGGGCATATGGCCATACTGGCTTTGCGCATTCTACCGTTTGCCAGTCATGTCTGCGCGCTTAACCTCGATGTTAACGATCAGCGTAAGGGTTTAGATCGCGGGGAATATATACATTCTCCTATTGTTTCGAAGAGCTGAATTGCTAATTACCATTGATTTTTTTTCTCTTTTCAATGAGTAGAATCCATCAAAGATGCCGGGAGCACCGCGACATACAACATGATGACATGGTACAAAGAAAATGGGACGGATAACCCGGGTTTTATCTCAAGATCATGGTGGACAGGAGCTGCCTTGTTTCTGGCTTGTCTCAACTATTGGCATGCGACCAACGACACGACCTATAACGAGGAAGTCAGCATCGGTATGCAACATCAGGGGGGTTCGACCGGAGACTACATGCCTTCATGGGCAGTAGGCATAGTAAGTGCTCCGTTTCAAGATCTGAGATCGCACCGTGCTGACCTCGTCCATAGGGAAATGACGATCAAATGTTCTGGGGCCTCGCGGCGATCACAGCAGCGGAATATAAATTCCCGAATCGACCAAGTGGTGACACCTGGCTCACCCTTGCAGAGGGTGTTTTCAATGACCAGAAGGATCCAGATGGCAAAGGGTGGGATACGACTGTTTGCGGAGGTGGTATTCGCTGGCAGAAGGAACTCTGGCAAGGTGGCTATACCATGAAGAACGCGGTGTCGAACGGTGGCTTTTTTATGCTCGCAGCTCGTCTCGCTTGGTACAAACAAGAGAAAGGGTATTCTACATGGGCGGAGAAAGTCTGGGATTGGTCTACCTCGGTGAATCTGGTCAATGATACAACCTGGCAAGTGGCAGATAGTGTCCGACAAGGCACTGGAGGTCCCGATGGTTGCAGTCTCCCTGACAACACCCGATGGACCTACAACTATGGTACCTTTGCCTCTGGTGCGGCATATATGTACGCCTACGTGAGTATTGTTCTTTTTAGTTCTCACCTGTCGACTAACCCAGAACTGCACATCCTGTTTTGACATGCTAATAACAACTCTTATAGACGAACGATGCCAAGTGGCTCAATATCACAAACAGCCTAGTGGACGCAATCTTTACTACATTTGCCCTACCCGAACACGGAGGTGTGATCACAGACTGGAACTGCGAAGCATCCGGCCAATGCTACAAAGACGCCAACGGCCCACTTTTCAAAGGCCTCACGGTGTCCTGGCTTGCGGATATTGCATTGATCATCCCCGAGCTCAAGGATAAGATCCTACCAAAACTCCAAATTTCCGCCGAAGGAGCTGCAAATTCATGCACCGGCAACAACGAAAACCTCTGCGGAAACCGCTGGTACGGCGGGTATGATGAACAGAATTCAATGGAGAATGCCATCAGTGGGAGTCAGATCATGAGTGCTGTTATGCTGAAATTTCTAGGCTCATCCTCAAAACCAGTGTCAACTGCCACGGGAGGAAATGGCACCAGTGACCCGAATGCTGGTACGAGGAAAAATCCGGGGCCTGCGGTGTTGGCACCTATCACGACGGCAGACAAAGCAGGAGCTGGAATCCTGACTGCGATTTTCGTGTGTCTTACGATAGGCGGGTTGGTCTTTTTGTTTATGCACCCCTGATCTCTGGAATCAGAGTCTAGCTGCACATAAAACATGGGCGAAGCTTACGGGCACATGTACATTTGGAGTTGACATGGATATTCTATTTCTGTTTACTTGTACCTTGCGAGATACAATCCACCAGGAATACCCAGACACACGAGTCAGACCGGGGCTCATTGTTTCCGGTAACTTGCACGTAGAGAAATCAACAATCAGTCTGTCAAATCGACGCCGCTACACCGCCAATACACTAAACAGGTTGAGCAACGCCCTCGGCTTAATATTGCTCATGAGGCATCTGACCCGGTCTGTGCCACTCAAACCCGCACCCGAGTTTCGAACAGAGTCCAGCTCCAGTTTCAAATCTAGTGGAAGACTTGAACTTCCCTCGTACGCCGTCTATTATGCCTGCGTCGAATCAACCTTCGGGAATGCCGGGGGTGGATGGTATTCGTATCAGGTGAGCAGGGCAGCTGTGTTCCAATTGGCAAGGAGTAAGGAGTTCTGAAGTGGGGGGATTGGAGCTGGCTGATTCGACGGCGAAATTAAATAAGTTGATAAAAGGTGTGATGATAGGCCGGTAGAGCAAGACCCAAACCTTCGCGATGTGTTTTTATGCGTCTTGCACCCGATATAAAAGCACTTTTAACATGGGGGTCGCGGTTTCCCCGTAGGGAGAGACATCTTCAAAATTCATCTTGGAAACACCAATTCATTGATTCCCTGGCAATGGGATTCGTCAACCACTTCAAAGAGCCCGACAAACAAAGCCAAGATCGACTTAGTGAATGCCTCATCGGGGTCTAAAGGGTTAGCAGCGAATCACCTATCCCCATAGAATAACAGCCCATACTTACATATTTCGCTCCAAGGAAACGGTCACACCGCAGACACTTAAGTAAGCACTAAGAGGAAATTCAAGTATAAATAGTCTTGTTCCCCCTCATTTGACGGATTCTAAAGTTCGTACTTTGACCAAAATGGCCCCATCTCTCCCACCTCAGTACGAAATCCGTGTTCTTGGACCAGAACACGAGGAATGGGCCCGGGCAATTTGTATTCATACAAATCTATTCCACTCCCCGCTCTGGCCCGTTGTGTATTCCGAGAACAAAACCCAGCGGACCTACCAGAGTTTTCGGCATTCGCACTATTTAATCAAACACCAAATCGACTCAGGAAAGTCCCTGGGTATTTTCGACAAAGAATATCAATTCAAACGACCCGAGTCTGCAGCCACGGGGGGCAAACTATACTGGAATCTGGAAGATGAGAATGCCACCGAAAGCGATCTTGCAGAGCAAATGGACTTCCCACTGGTCTCGATTGCCATGGCCTACGATGGCATCGACGAGCTAGACACGGATGAAATAAAACCTCTGATAGAAGCACTACCTCTATTCGAAACGATCTACCATGCCCTCGAGGAACGAGACCAGCGCGATCCTGCATCGTGGAAACCCACGGCCCGTGGACAAGTGCTGATGCGCAACGCTACCAATACCCTCCAATCTCATTCCGGTCATGGGCTTATGAGAATTCTGGCCGAAGAGATGATGAGACGTTCGGCGGCTGAAGGGTACCGGGGTATCCAGATCGAGAGTATTTCTTATGCTGTGCAAAAGGTGTGGTCGAACCCACCGGCTCCGTTCAAGGGGACTATTATTTCGCAGTTTCATACGACCACGTTCGAAGAGAAAGATGCGTCTGGGGAAGTTTCGTATCCCTTCCGACCGGCGGATGTGAATGTTTCCAAGATTTTCGTCGACCTCCGACCTGAATGAATTCAGCAAGATTAACTTCGTTCACATTGAAGTCATGCATATGAACATCTAGTACGTAACTGGTTGGTGAATTATATGAGAGTAGGTTGTAGAACATCGCGTACGTTTGTGGCATAGCTAAAGAGTACTCATGAATCACAAGTTTCTCTGTACTAAATAGCCGTGTATCCTCCCTTTACTACAATATATACACCTAGTAAGGGATAGGAGTAGCCGAATTGAAATACTTCAACAGGACCTCCTTCTCCTTGATGCTGGAAGTGATGGGAATCTTCTTCCAGTAAGTGCCTAAATCAAACTGCCTATTTTGCGAGGGAACATTAGCCCCCCAATACGGCAATGTCCCATTCGTGCTCGATCCTCCCTTATTGGAGTTCTGAGCCTTAACGAAATTGGCCCAGTAAGAGGACACCTTCTCGGAAACCTCGTAGTCAGTCTCGCTGTAGCTTGAGGTCTGAGCACACAGGTTGCCCAGGGCGTAGACAACCTCTGAGCCATGAGCGGCACCACTACTCGAGGGATCGTAGCTCCACAAGTAGTAGTAGATGGGCTGGTTCGAGGTCTTGCTCCATCTGTTAGCGAAGGACTAGGTGGAGGTATAGTATCCCGCGCGCAAGATGGCATTGTAGGCATTCGTGGCGGCGGCGGTGGTGTTGGCCGGGTGAAGAGCCAGGAGCTCGGCAGCATAGTCTCCATAGCTCGAGGTGATCGCCTCCTCATACTCTGTCACGTTGTAGGATGTAATCAGATCGATGCCGTTCTCGTCCTTGTTGTTACCAAGCAGGATCGGTACTTTGTTCGCCGCTCCCTCCTCCAAGCTAACGATGTACTTGTGGGGAATAGAGTGGTTGTTCAGTACAGGGTCAAAACCAGTGAAATCGGTGGTCCCAGTTCCGGTCAACACAGTCGAAAGGTCCACGGCTCTCAACTCAGCCAGATTGAAAGTATTCAACGATTCATAGAAGGTGTTGCTGAAATTCAACGCCCAGGCCATGCTCCGGTAGTCACTGCCGTATCCCACCATGTTCGGGTCTTTGATGCCACTTTCCGCGATAACTCCCTTGATTAGGCCTTTAGAGAGAGAACTGTTAAGTATGTGGTAGCTGCCCCTGAACCGAAGCATTGTCCAGCCGCGGTGATTGCCTCAGTCACCACCGAACGCCGCAATGTTCTCATGAACCCATTTGAGAGCAGCAATCTGGTCTAACAGGCCGTAGTTTCCCGTCGTGCCGGTTTCATTTTCCAGCTCAGGCAAAGTAAGTCAGCCCAGGGGTCCGGTGCGGAAGTTGTAGCTGACAAAGACGATATCTTTACCAGCCATGCCAGCACCATCATAGGTCGACTGAGAGGATTCGCCGCCAGCAGCGTACGACTAGAACATGACGGGTAGTTTGGCATTGACCGAGGTGGCGGGACTCCAGATGTTGATGGTGAGACAGTCCTAGCTGTAACCGTCACCAGCCGACTGGCTGGGTCAGCTTGCTTCGAAGGAAGTAGCCTTGTAGGTTCCGTTCCAGAATGGGGCAGATTGGTGTGGTTTCCAGCGATGTTCGCCGGCTGTGGTGCCTGCGTACGAGATGCCCTTTCAAACGGAGATATCTTTCCAGTTGGAGATGGTGGATGGTACACTGCTGCTATTGAAGGCAGCTGCACCCTGCAAGTTTCCCTGGAGGATCTTGATAGTCTGGTCGTACAGAGCTGCGTCTGCCACGGCAAACAGGGCAAAGATGCCAGCCCTGCGGGTGAAGTCTTTAGAAAACTTCATTCCTAGCGACGTAGGTAAATAGCCCTGGAGTGACAAGTATACATTGAATCCGAAGGTGTGTATGTTTATATGAACTGGAAACTTGATTAGCAGCAGAATGCTCAGGTAGAAGGATAATAGTATTGAGACGATCCGAAAAACAGGTGACGCGTTCCCTCCATTATGCTCTATGTGGGGGAAATTCAAGGGGTTGATCTGATAAGCCCGAAGCGTTAAACTGCAATAGGTAGTTAGTGCCGTCGAAGTATGTATCAAGGTGTGGAAGAATAGTTATGGCCTAACGCTAAAATCCGAAGATATGTGGGACTGGGTTTGTACATGCATTACGTGTCCGGATCAGTTGTATTAGGCTACTACTATCCCCTGCCGTATGCATGTGGTTTGCACAATATCATCCTAGCCTTACAATAGGGCCAACCGGTCGATACCTTCCCTGGGCTGATTCCAAGACACAGAACATTTCAGGATGTAATGATTTTACACCGTAGTTTAACCGAGGTTAGCGCATTGTGAAGAATGGTGATGATCATGCTTTTTATCCCGTCTATTGCGGGATCTATGAAAAATCTACCATTTGCTTAATAGTGGTGATTTTATCTGCCCTTCATGAAACCTCTAATTGTATATAAATAGTAGTTGATCCAACTGTAATCCCTAGAGGTATCCACATCGGGTAGTCTATGACCAATCTAATACTTCTGCAAGGTACTGAACCATGACTTAAGGAGAGCAACCTTCTTGCTCACTGCCACAGGGATCTGGCCCCATCCATTTCCAACATGCTGAACAAGCTCGCTCGAGTTCACGGCAGGCCAAGTAGTTAACCCATCACCATTAGGGTTTCCACTCTTGATGAAGTTGGCCCAGTAGCCATTCATCTTCTTGGCGATGGCATAGTCCTCTGCTGTCCATGGGCTGTCGGTACCATAGAGGTTGTTCAGTACGTAGTTGATCTCAGACTCATGATAAGCACCCTGGTCTTGGCCAGGGGGAGCGTGGTCCCAGAAGTAGTTGTATATCGGGCTGCTGTAAGCCTTGTTCCACATCTGAGACCAGAGCCAAGTGCCAATCTTGGAGCGGTCCGTGAACTGAGAGTTGTATGCTCCAGAAGCAGTGGTGTTGTCATGTGCCGGATAGAGACGAAGGAAGCGCTGCACCCAGGGGCCACTGTAGGTCTCGTTGAGGTCGGTCAGGTACTCTGACATGGTGATATCCAAACCATAACGTGCACCGCTTTCATCCTTTGTGTTGCCTGTCATGACAGGCACATCTTGAGCTAACTTGTTGGTCAAAGTGTTGTAGTAAGTGTCAGGGACGGCGTAGTAATCAAGCGTGGCTGTGAAGTCAAAGTCCGAACTAAAGAAGTCCACAATCAGGCTCTCCATGGGCAGTTCGCGGGCCTCGGCAATACTAGAGACATTCAGACTCTTCAAATAGGAGCTCGCTGTAGAGTAGGAGGAATCAAGGGTCGTGTAGGCCTCAGCGAGGCTGGTACACAAAGGATCATGTGGATCCCGAACACCGCTCTGAATAATGGCACCCTTAATCAATCCCTTGGTCAAGGGGCTATTCAAGATATGCTGAGTTGCAGCGGACCCAGCAGATTGACCCATAACAGTGATGTGGTCTGGGTCACCACCGAAATGGGCAATGTTGGCCTTGATCCACTTGAGGGCAGCGAACTGGTCGAGCATACCCCAGTTTCCAGAGGAGTTGTGTCCATTTCCAAACTCTTCAGTCAGTTCTGGAGAGGCCAGCCATCCAAAGGAACCAGTGCGGTAGTTGTAATTGACAAAGATAATGCCCTGGTCAGCCATCCCACCGCCATCAAAGAGGGCGTCTGCCGCAGTCGATACAGCTGGGTAGCTCCACATGACCACAGGGAGCTTGGCATCGGTGGAATTGGCAGGACTCCAGATATTAAGATTCAAGCAATCTTCGTCAATGGTGTAGTCGTTATTGCCGTCAGTTGCTGAAGGGCAAACATTTCCCCAGTTCTTGGCATCCAGAGTCCCATTCCATGCGCTAGCCGTTTGGGGGGCCTTCCACCGGTTCTGGCCTCCAGTCGTGGCAGCGTATGGGATGCCTTTCCACACGGTGATATCCTTCCAATGGGTCAAGTTGCCGGTGTTGGAGGCATTGAAAGCAGGGTAACCCTGGACACCTCCATACTTGGTTTCGATAACGGTGTTGTAAAGTGCGCCTGAGACGATGGGCACTATGCCGCAGAGGGCTGCAGTAGTGGACTTATAACCCATGGATAATGGCGAGATTCCTGATAAAAACAAAGGACAAAGAGAAGGAAAGAAAGATGAGGAAGATTGAAGCTGTGGGATAGTCGGGGACTTTATACTTCGATCTTTTCAAGTACAAGAGGTGATTGTCGTAATCCATATTGACGCGTCTCATTAGAGCCCCCTGAAAGATCAATTTAAATATCCTAAGGTTATACCCGGCCACATACGTGTTGCGTCCCCACCGTCCACTTCGAACAATCAAATTTTAGCGTCACACCTTAATTGTAACCCCAAGGAAATACTAGAACCCAGATGTCCGGGATTCACCGTGAATCAGGAGCAGAAGAATAAGCAGAAGAAGCAGAAGAAGAAGAAAATGAAAGAAAAGAAGAAGAAGAAGAAGAAGAAGAAGAAGAAGAAGAAGAAGCCAACCGCTCCGTCTTGTGGGCAATAATATGTAGATCTTCTGAGTGACTGAGGCTATCACCGAGCTATTCGGCCTTAAACGCCTAAATGGGTATATCGACCGACACCCTCGGAATTAAACGAAGCGGTTTCAACGTAGTCGCATTCCGTCTTTTGGCTTCCACAGACTTTCGCTGATCTTGCCTTATGCGATACTGAAGCTATAGGTGAAGCATGAGTATATGCCGCGTCGTCTAAACCCACTAATAATTCAATCCTTCTGCACTAGTACAACAACGCTAGAGGTATGAAACTCCATAGGAACCAGTCTAGTTTTCATCGACGAATTCTGTCAGTGCGCTTTCTTCGCAAATCTTTTCTCCCTTTGTAAATTCCAACATGCGTTCATTCATTACATTAGCTCTGTATTTAGGTGCTGTCGCTGCTTCCGAGCTCAAGACTCGTACCGTCTATCAGTTCTCCTCCAACGACACCTAATTAGAGAACCTGGCCACACGATCCAATAGCAACATCCTAGCTACCGAGATTGGTCTTACAGCCAATCTCCTGTCTTTTTGATTCTCGCGAAAAGCACCCTCGGAAGAAGGTGATTAAGGATTTCACCTCGTCCTTGGTCTCTCCGGTATCACCGAAGGTGCCCATGATGTCTTTTACGTGACTGGAGCCAATACCACATCCAATAACACCGGCAATCTACCAAAGAATGCAACTCACACCTGGGAGGTTGATTTCACCAAAGACGGCGATAATTCGAAAATCAAACTCCTCTGCCGCCCTACGGCGCCCACCCGATTCAATGGCTTGGCAAGATTCAACGATACAATCTTGCTCGCTACCGCCTCCTATCAAGATTCCATCTTTGCATTCGACACCCGCATCGGTCGTATCTGGGAGGCCATCAAACAAGAAAGCCTCATGTCCTCCATCAACGGCATCAAAGTGTCAGACAGCTTCGTCTACTGGACTGCCAACAGCGCCTTGTATCGCGCAGAGCTATACCCAACGTCACTGCTGGCACGGGACAGCTGATCTTCCAGGGCAGTGCGTTTGATGATTTTGCTGTTTCTCCCAGTGGTTTCGCGCTCAACTCTACTTACAGCGCCAACTACAAATTCGCCTACCTTTCTACCTCCGCTGGAAACACAATCGAGCAGGTTATATTTACCCGTAATGGGACCACCATCGGTAGTGAGATTATTGCCGGGTCTGAAGACTTGACGGAAGTTGCCGAGCCTACGGGTGTTTTCTTTGGAAGGGGTGAAGGTCAATTGAACAAGATTTATGTCACCACCGGTGGTGGCAGCGGTGTCAATGTTGATGTGAATGGTACGGAGACTGCGGTCGGTGCACAATTGCTGGGGATCCAGCTCAGCTAGATTATAGAAGTACACTGTACTGTAGAAGAGGTGATATTATGCACTCGGATAATGGAATATACTGTCTTTAAATTCCAATATGTTGAGCCAATGTCTTTATGCTGAGAGCCCCTGAGACAGTTACACACCATTACTAAACCCGAGCCCAGAGACTCCCGTGCTGAATTATTCCCTTCCTAGAGGTTTGGCAGGCCTGCGCCTAACATGCTCGGCCAGGAATCCTCGACCATGACCACGCGGGTCAGCGGAAAGTCTACAAACTGCAGCGAGGGCTTCAACATCCTTCTCGATGTAATTTTTTGCTCACTGATCGGCTCTGGCAGTTTGTCGCATATGAAGAACCAGCCACGCTTCGGGCCGCTGAAATACATGACTTCCTTTCTCAATGCCTGAACGCCATATCCTTGACCGGAAAGTAACGCTGTAGGAAACGCCCTGTATAAAAGTCTGAACATTCATGCGAACGATTCCCCGATATCCCAATCCCGTAGCGGATTTCCTTTCATAAGGCGATGTCGCGCATCAAATACACAGTTTTACTATATACACTGTCTGCACATATCACTATTGATCCGTAATAGACACTCCGGTCTACGCATGTCACCTCGATCCCGTCACCCTTTGTCTCGACATTGCTCAACATTTTGCTGTCAATAAATCACAGAAAGAAAGAATGCAATGGATTAATATCACTTGCTACAAGAAGGAACCAGTCCTCGCCTCATACAAATCAGAAAAACAGCACATATAGCGACAGACACGTTCAAAGACAAAAGAAACGCCCACAATGCATTATATCTTGAAAATACCATGGTCCTTCGTTGGCCCATCATCCATACCGTAATCTCACTCTTATTTTTGTCACCCGTTCTCGTTCGCACACTCGCTTTGCACTCTCCGCACCAGACGTGGATCAGCATTTCATACTGGCACATTTTGGTGATCCTCAACACCCGGTTGAGTATAATGCAGACAATGGAATCAATCAATGTTCCACAAAGCAGTCCGCAATGATCACAGCATTGCTAAATCGCAGGTAAAAAAAAGAGGGCAGAGAAACGCCCATCGATTCCCCGGCATCAGGAGTCATCCACACCAGTGTCGATAATAAGCACCCGAAGAACCCCCCATTCAACACGCAACATTGACCTTCAAATAGAAAAGAAAAAGAACAGAAATGATCCGAAACAACCAGGAACCCCCGTGGAACGATAATGGCACAGCCATAATACATAGTCCATCTCAAATCTCCCAATATTCCTCACCCTCCCTCCCACTCTCATCTCCACTCAAATCCTGGCTCCCATACCCAGAATCAGACCAGCGCCTCGCACCGGGCGAAACGGCATAGATCCCGCGTCTGGAGTGCCTGTCACAGGTATAGCCAACCAGCACAGTCTTTTCTTGTACTTCATGGCCGCGCTGTCCATAAGCAGAGCAAGGGTCGATGGAGTGCTCGAAGTAGAGACATTTGCAGACGGAGTATCGTTCGACGACTTTGTAACACATTTCGTATGGTATTTAGAGTATAAGAATGAATTGATGGTTGAATGGTTTGAGACCCGAAGAGAAAAAGCGAACCAGCCGATTGAATGAACAGAAGTAGAAAGTAGAAAATAGGAGTATAAAATAGAAAATAGAAAATAGAACGGACAAGTGAAGAAAAGCACGCTGTCTCGCGAAAGAATGACCCGAAACGAAATCAGAGGGAGTGACTGGTTCGACAAACTGAGAGGGGTGTGTATAGAGGGATTGGGCGTTATATATGCAGCGATTATAGAGGATATATCCATACAATAACCTAATTTAAATTTAATAATAGTATAATTATACAATAATAATAATATAATAGTATAATATAATAATATAATAAAAATAAAAATAAAAAACCATGTAGATCCAAAGCATATCCCATCAGCCCTATGGACAACCCCAGGCAGAAACCAAACGGGGCGCGCCCAATCGGCTAAGAAGGCTGAAGAGAAGAATAATACTCCACTATGTAGACAAGGACTGGATATCTACTTGTCTTGGGTCGAGTTTAGCAGATCCATTTTACCCCTCTATGCTGTATGGAGTAGGTGACTATGGATAGTGGGGGGGTGATACAGTAAAAAGACCAGTCCAGTCCCATCTCCTCAGCTGGAATGTTCACAGTTCTGACTCTAAAGTCTCACTTGACACAATAACGGTAATAGCATCACTAAAATGATCTACAAAGTGTGGCAAGGAAGCAAAGACGGTGAACACATAGTGAAGAAGCCCCGCGACGAGCAATCCAGTACAGCGAGTCGGTGAGCCACAAGGCTGTGCACAGAATAGTAAATACCAACAGCACTGATTATCACTGGTTCTCACTGGTTCTCACTGGAATCGGGAATGACGGATCACGACATAACTGGTCGAATGACGTCGATCGTCAATCCAACGTGCCCCAAGTGGACATCAGGGCGTTTTTTTGAGTCAGAGCCTCTTAACACAGCCCTGACATTCCCACTGCGGCTCAAGGGATATAAGGCTGTTGACCGCATATTGACAACTATTTTTTTATACAAACATAATATCTTCTCCTGTAATTTCTAATATTCAAGCGGTGACATTTTGTGAAGTTGTGGGGACTAGGCGCCCGCATTCAGCTGCTGACGCTAACACTAACTGAGTTGCCTATGTAGGAAGGAGTACGGAATACGGAATGCCCAGCGATTCGCAAGAACCGGTTTTTTTGTTTTTTTTAGCTCGACGCTAATCACTACGTTTTCCCCGTTGAATGGGGAGGAGATACCTTGTGGGTTAACCGTAGGGCTGAGGGGGTTTGCTGATGATTGCCATTTTCGGTAATCTAGGGCCGAATTGGGTACGTATACGCATCACATTGCAGATACACTGCTGTTACAATATATGCAGAGTACCTAGGTCTTGGATCTAAAAGGATTAAGTGGCATAGTAGGTCTGATATCGTACATCGCCTGTCACAAAGACAAAGCGGGATCCCGAAGTAGTTGTGTGTGTGTAAGTGGTGCTAAGCTAAATTCATTTCCCCAGATTAAAAACACCCATTTTCAAAACTAGGCCTCCCTCTTACTCTAACTCCGTAATCTCAGATCGATCCCATTGCGCCATGACTCAATCCGCGTGCCAATCCCAGTCGGAGCATCTGGAGGATATCCTCGCCCTTGGCAGTCTCGGGAAGCCCGACACGCCAATCCCATCCGCGATCGGCGGCTTTGTCACCTAGGGTGGGCACGAGGACACCCGAGCTGCCCACAGAGGTAGGGCCGGAGCCTGAACCGGAGCGGGTGCGCGCTGATTCGAGCATGTCGTTGCCGATGATGGCGAAGCTGGAGGCGGAGAAATTGGACACGGATTTCTTCAATAGAGCGCGCGGGGAGGGGGGCACATCTGATCCCCCGCGGGTTGATGATTGATATTCGAGTAGGGTAGAGCGGAAACATTCCTCGCACTGTGCGTATACACGGGGGGTGACGGTTTCCAGATCCTCGATTGCGGACAGGATGGTAAATTGTTGGGACACAGAGAGCACTGCAGTGGGTTCTGATTGGGGGTTAATATCAACGAAGAAATTTGACGTGGTTAGTATTGGGAGACTCACGATTCACAAACGCACAGGCTTCACCCAGCAGAGCTAGCAGTCCATCCACCTGCACAGCGGAATCACGGTCTGGGTCATAGAGACCTCCGTAAATGTTATCTGCCGCACTCCCAATGACAGCCGCCAGAGCTTGCGCAGCGGCGCGTCGCCGAGCCAACGGCTTGTATCGTGGTCGCTGACCCTCTTGCAGTTCGAATTCCTCGTCGCGGATCTCATAGAAACGACGCAGCGTCGCGTAACCGCTGAGGTAGAACTGGAGAATCCGAGCAGCTTCTTCGTCGATTTGTGCAATGGACGACAGGCATGCTTTGGGTTCCTTCATCAAAGAGCGCAGTTGTTCATCGAGATCGGCCGTCGCAGGGTACGCGCGTGATTGCACCAAGCTGTAAGAGATCAAAAGATCGACAACTGACTTGACCTTGCGTCGGCTCTGGGCACGAGCATAGCAGACGAGGGCCAGACCGAAGTTTTCGGATTTCGAGGTCAACATGTCACCGAATCGCTGTCAATCAATTAGCACTGGGTCAGATATTCAGCAATTCCCTTCCACCACTCACCTCAGATACCCGACGCCCTTGATCCTCCAGCTCAAGTTCCGAGCAGAGAACCACTAGTTTATCCAACTGAGCAGGGCTTTCCAAAGGAAGCTTATCCACGATCTCGGATACGGCCTTCTTCATCTGGTTTGCATCGTCGAAGCGGCTCAATACCTCAATGGCCAGCTCCCAGCCTTCACGGGAGCTGTGTTCGTTCTCAATAACGGTTCGGTCATACAGCCCGAATGCGTAACTGTGAAGAATATCGTCCTTGTGTAAATGGCGGGCTGGAGACTTGTTATCCTGCCCGTATGAAAGAACCATAAGATCATTCTCAGACAGACCAGGTAGTGTCTTTTGGCTGCTTCCAGACTCAAACCAGCCCCCCAGGCTGGCAACTTCTGCGACAGCGGAAGCCACGCAAAGTGACCATGTCTGTACTAACTCCAATACGCCCTGCACGTTGCCTTCGAAGACAGATGCAAGACCGACCTCCACGCTGCTGAGTGTATTGGGTCGGAAATCAGCGTTGTCGGACGCATCGGTGGTGGTGTGACTGAGGGCTAGTTCGAGGCGGTCGAGGTAGGCACCACGCATGTTGCGATCAACGGCGCGAACGTGGTTCTTTGGGCCGCGCGAGCGCAGGAAATCTTGGAAGTTGTCGCTAGATGAGGTAGCGCCAACGTCCATGCCGGAACTAGTGTCATCCTCGCCGTCCCACCATGCTGTCAAAGCAATAGTCGCCTCCACCCAGTCTTGAGACTTGCCCTTGATGGCAGATGGGTCGCCCAGAATGATTCGGTAGATAGATCTCAAGCTCTGGTAAATTGACCATGGGACACGGCTTTCTGCCATGCGAGCCGATTGAGCGAATGAAATTGGGTTCTTGTTCGAGTTAAAAGTGGACAATCCAAAGTTGACGGCCTGGAAGCGATTCTCTGGGACCGGCACAATCGATTCATCCCGCTCCTCTCCCTCGGCGAATTCCTCCAGGTCAGTGACAGCCGAAAGAACTCGCTTCCGGTACTGAGACCAATCAAGACCGGTGACCTCCCAGTCTTCAGATTGGGTCCCAGGGCATGATTCTAGAATTTGAAGAGCCTTGTTGACGCAGCGCTGGATATTTTGCAGCTGTGCGCCGCGGTAGCCAGGCTGTGGGAGGCCATCCTCCAACGCTGATCGGGCGTAGTTGAAGTCCGCGGAACGGAGAACATCTGCGGCATCAGTCAAGCGACCACGCAGCACAGAGGCAATGATAATATCCCAGAAGTTTGTGGATGCGGTTGGGTTGGGTTCCACATATTTCAACGCTTGGAGATCCTTGGTCTGCGATGCGTGGTTTTCACTGAGCCAGTCAAGTAAGATCTGGGGCAGAGGCTTAGGAACGGGGGGTCTCGTCATGGCTTTCACCATACCAGCGGCCCCGGTGCGCATGGGGTTAATGTGGGCAGTCGAAGGTGCTTCGCGAGAAGGGTGGTGGATTTGGAGTAGCAACGAAGCCAAGAAGCTAGCTTTCACGAGGTTGGGAGCCTTCTCCCCGGGCCCAATGCCAGAATGGGCACCGTAGGGCCGGTCAATCCCACTTTCATCGGCGAAAGTCTGCCAACTCTCTGCCAGCTCCTTTGATACATTGGCCAACACAGCATCGAAATCGACATGTTTGAACTCGGCTGCTTTGAGCTCGTCAGAAAGTTTTCCCAGGGCATCCTCCGTTTTCAGAATCATCTCACTTGGCTCCTTAACAAGGGCCATGCGGGATCTGACAGCAAGGTTGTGAAGAATGGATGGCATTGCAGACGGCTTCTTGGGAGCTAGGTTGGTCTTGCGGACGGGTGACTGGTGCGCCCAGTGCTCGTCAAGCTTCGGTCGTTTGGCATCGCTTGGATTCGAATAGATCGGTTTGCGCTGCGCGCCCATGGAGGGCTGCGATTCGAAAGGGTTTCCGAAAGCCGAGTCTAAGAAGTTGAAGTTCTTGGACCTATCCTGGGTGCTCATGTCCATTTCCTCTTCAGCTTCCTCTTCGAGTTCCTCTTCCTCCGTTTCCATCTGGTCTTCCTGCTCTTCGTTAAAGTCACTCATTTGTGACGAGGCAAACCCATTAGACTGTCCGAAATTCATTGAATCCCCAAATCCGCCTCCGTTTGGCACACCGAAGCGAAGGCTAGAGTTTGCTGTGGGCTTGAAGGAAGGGGCTTTGGTCTGCTTGGGCATGGCATAATCCGTCGATCCAAAGGATGACCCGAAGATGCTGTCGTTTGTGTTGATGTTGCCGGATTTGGTGAAGACAGAGTTGGAGAAGTCATTTCTCGAGAAGGAGTTCTGGTTTGTAGAGAATGCGCTATTGTTTGTGGAGAAGGAGTTGATGCGCGAGCCACCGTTGATGTTGGATGTAGAATGCGGTACGAATGACCCTGCAGTGGACGGCGGCGGGCCAGCAGGCGTTGTCGACAAATTGCTCCAGAGACTGCGAGAGCGATCTTTATCTGGAGTCTCAGGTGGGCTGGACTCGTAGGGTACTTGGAACGACATCGTGGGGTGTTGTTCAGAATGAGAAGAGACGGGTTGACGGCAGAGTATGCAAGGTTTGGGCCGCAACAGCTCTAAGAACTGTTAGATGAAACAAACAACAATATCAATCGACAAAGACTGATTCGCCAGGCAGCGAAGAAGGTCGATGCAGTTGATTGTTTGTCAGAGAGGTTCCCTCTTCTCCAGACTTGCTTGTTTTTCTTGCCCTTCACTTTCCGCTTCGACGCGACGGCGAAAGTTATCAGGCATCAAGGCATCAACATTAGATCATGTGATGTTACTCTTGATCACCAGTCACGTGAACATGTTCTCCAGATCAGCTGACGGATGCCTTGAAGATCAGGCCTCATTACGGATGACCGTCACCGGGTTCCAGTTCTCGTAAAATCGCTTACATAATTTATTATTTTCGAGTCTCCCTCAGATGCCGTCGTCAGATGCCGGGAGCTGAGGGAGACTCGAAAATAATAAATTCGTAAGCGATTTTACGAGTCTCCCTGGACTGACACCCCGGCAATCACGTGGCGATCGCTCACTATGATTGGCCCGTTGCCCTGCACTGCCAGCACCGTCAAACAAGGCTCAGTTCGGGGGCCAAATCCGATGCATCTGATTGCCTGGGGGCTCGAAAGGCATACTTGATGACCTCAGACTTCGAAGGATGGGTGAATATAATGCTTATTCGAACAGGGCTGGGCCTTGAACTGACCCGAGAATGTAGATATATAATGAACTCACCGGTCTCGGTTCTTGGGAAATAATCACAAATCTACTTCGAATGATACCAATATCAAGTTCATCACATCCATCATGAATCCAACCGCCCAGTATCTCATCACCCATAGCTTCTGGCGCCACAACTACGATGTCCGCACAACAAACAAAACACACCTCTACCATATCGCCAACTCCTCTTTCACACCAGGAAAACCAGATCTAACTTTCTACCGTAGCCCTGACTCCAATGGGCCCATTGTGGGAGTGTGTAAGTTCCGGCACTTCTCCTCGGACTGTGAAATTGGTGTAGGGGACCCGGAACGGCCCAATAAGATGAATTGGGAGTACCTGCACAAACAAGGCTTTACGAAGCGCGTATATTGGTTCCGCATGGAGTTAGACGACGGCACAAAGCGAACTTTTACCTGGAAACGAACCCACTCGCTTGGCAGTGGATTTGAAAACCATAAACTAGTCGAGGAGACTAGCCAGACCGTCGTCGCGGTGTTTTCTTCTGGTGGCATCTTTTCCAAAACAACCGGCTACTTGGATATCTACTCGAATCTAGGTCAGAGGTTCTACCTTATGGTCCTTATCTCAGGAATTGCCTTGGTTGAGAAGATCAGACGTGCGAAACAAAGCTCGGCGGGGGCGGGCGCTGCAGGTGCTGCAGGTGGGGGAGGAGGTTGCTAGGCTGAGGAAATCTCATTGATGGCGTTATAGGCCACGGGATAGCTCACCATTACGAGGTCACGAAAATCTTGGACGAGACTTGCGGTTTATTTAGTGTTATTTTAGCTACGATAAATACCCTTAGCGCAACTGCCACGTTCTCTTAAAATTTCTTAAAATTAATTAAAACTACCGAGTACGACACAAGATACGAAACTACTTTGGATACAATACACCGAAATGAAGGGATAAATTTAAGGCTCGCTACAAATACCCAAAAAGTCAAGGAGGCAGTGCAAGCGAGACAATGTTTCAGATAGGACAAGCCTTTTTCGATGGTTTGATCGACAGGGTTTTATGACATAATCCTATACTAGTACCTCCACCGGGGTCCGAGGCCCCCGAATATATATCCTGTTGCCTACCCTTAAAAAGGTAAAAAGCAACCTTAAATATCGGAAGTCGAAAGAGCCTCGGTCTTTTCTTTCTTTCAAACTATGAATTTAATACTTGCATGACTATGGCGCTCCGACGACCACATCGGAAATCTCGCCATGGCTGCGTGGAATGTAAGAGGCGACGAGTGAAGGTACGAAACAGGAGAGAGAGAAAAAAAAAACCATAAATCAAAAATTGGCCCACTCATCCCATCATAGTGCGACGAGGCCCGACCTTCCTGCACCAACTGCGTCAATCGCCACTCCGAATGTGAGTACGGGTCGTCGACATCTCTACTATGGGCAAACGACGGGTCCGATAGTGGACAGACAGGCGAGCCCGTATCAGGCCTTCGTTCACCCTCGAGTCCAACCACGGGAGCGGTGGCAGCAGAGTCCCTCGGAATCCTGACCCAACTCGGCAGTGAAAACGCCACAACCTCAGCCGGGTCCGCATTGAACTTCAACGATTTGGAGCTGATGATACAGTGGTGCAACACCACCTTTCAGACACTGTCACGCAATGAGCGCACTGATCCAATCTGGCGCACCATCGTGCCCGAAGAGGCACTCTCACACCCTTTTCTGATGCACGGCATCCTGGCCCTTTCATCGCTGCATCTCGCTCGAACAGGACCGGAGCCAACCCGTCGAGGGTCGTATCTCAATCGTGCCGTCGCACACCAGAATCAAGCGCTGGCGCTGTTCCGGGAGATGCTGGGTGACGTGAATGAGAGTAATGCCAAGGCGATGTTTGCCTTTGCGGGAATCGTAGTTATCTACACGTTTGCATTCCCACATACGCCCGGCGCGCAGGATCCGTGGGACTGTGTCGACGATTTGTACCAGGTTCTTGTTTTGACGCGCGGTGTGCAGCAGGTTATCCATGCCCCGAGGGATTTTACGAGCTTCCTAATGGACAGTTCTTTCGGGCCGATTTTGCAGGTTGAGGAGACTCAGGGTCCGATGCCTGAGGACACGATTGCTATGCTCAAACAACTGCGCGAGGCGAACGAAGTCTGCGGGATGCGAGATCCGAATCATCAACTGCAGGTCTACGAAGGGTCTATTGCGAATCTCGAGGAAATGCTCAGTTGGTGCTACAGCGGGATGAGGGCAAATACGATTGCCGGGAGGTGGGCGATCCGCTTGAATCCTCGGTTTATGGAGTTGCTGCGCCAACGTGAGCCCTTGGCGCTAGTTATGCTCGCACACTACGGAGTGCTCTTGCAATATTTGAAGCATCGCTGGTGCTTTGACGAGTGGTGTGTGAGAGTCTCCAAGGCCGTGTGGACAATATTGGACGATCAGTGGAGGCCGCTGATCCACTGGGCCATGAGAGAGATTCTCGGTGTTAACTTTCTGGAACAGGTTGGCACTTGACATTCTGAAGCATTTTTCTGTTCTATTCATATTCATATTCGTATACCCAAGTCCAAAGCGCTGAAACCGCAGGAGAAATTCCATAACAAAAACAAAAACAAAACAAAAACAGTTCGAATCTCCACCTGGATCTTTCCCCACTCATCACAATAAATTTCGACCCTAACCTGTTAAACCGCGTTCGAGCCCTCCATAACCTTCAATCCACCCATAGCGGTGACGACATTTCCTCTTCCAAGAAGATAATTCACCTCGCTAGGGTGAATTACCACGAGAATGACCATCATCACAAACATCAACAATCCATCAAAGACATAAATGAAAACCTCATGCTCCATGAGATAACCATGTGTGCCCTGGACATACTCCACGACACGAATGACGGACCGAATGAGAATAAGGATACTGGACGATTGCAACGCCCACATATGCTTGCGCCATGGGTACTGGTTCGCCACCGCGCGAGCTCCGGCGTGAGAGCCCAGACGCTTCTGGAAGATGAGCGAAGTAAGGAGGAAGAAGCCGAAGAAGACGATTTGCACGATGAGGCCGCCGATGATAACGTTCTGGCCGGTGCTGGTGGAGGATGAGGGGTCGGTAGAACTTGAGCCGGTGACCATGATTCCAGCACCTGTGGGAGTGTATTAGCATTAAGCTTCGAAAGAGCCAATTGATCTAAACCGATCATGAAGAAGAGAAGGGGAAGAAAACATACCAGAAGCCTGCATCAAGAAACTCAACACATCACCCGCGACGAAGATCTTGGTCATCCAGTTAACCCGAATCAGGGCAAACTGCTCTCCCTTGACCATAATGATAATCCGACCCAATTCCATGTAAATACTGGCAGCGAACAGTGCCGGCGCAATGAGCAGCAATGTGCTTTGCATAATATAGGGTCCGGTGGTCCAATCAGGTGATTGTTTCGATGACATGGCGCGGCCGATATATCCAACTAGCTCGACTGGGAGTATGTTAGTACTGGAAATGCCTGGGGGTTGTTTGGGTATAGATATACTTACAATATCCGCCAATCAAAAGCGGGATGAAGAACCATGTTCTCGTGCGGAACAGATGGAATGTGTGCATTAAAGTGACAATTGCAAATAAGACAATGAATACTATTGCAGCACCCATTGAAGGGTAGTATTCATAGGCGATCCAGCCGGCGTGGGAAGACATCTTGAATGTAGATTGAGTAAGTAAGAGGCACGGCCTGGTTGGATTGAATCAATGACTTGGAAAACCGGAAACTGAGGACCACTCTCTCCCCTCTTATATATGTTCTAATTCAGAATTTTCCCTTAGATCTAAAACGGGATCTAGGTAACCCTTGGAAAAGAAAATTCGTGGAGTTATGGAAAGGAGATTTCATATACTCGTACCCTCGTAACCTTGTCCCGATACAGATGGGTGGATACCCACTAGTCCTAATCAGGAGTACAGTACGAAATACGAGAGTCTAAAATCTTAATTATTTTGATCAAGTGGAGACCCCGTGGACCTTCCAAAAGATAAACGTTGCAAAGTGGAGACGAGATGTATATGCTTCTTCGTAATCCATCTCGTATACGGAGTAGAGGGGCTGGGAATTTGATCTGAAACTCTACAACTTCGCCTTCTTCCCATTTTGCAGCACATACCGATATCTCGCCTTACCCTCATGCATATCAACTAGCGCCTGATTAACATCCACCATATCCCTCTTCTGAATCCAAGGCAAGACCCTCTTCTCCGCAGCCAAAGCCAACATAGCTCGAATATCACTCGGGGAACCAATATTCGACCCAGTGACCTTAACACCCTTCTGAATAAGACTCCAAGCCATAAGCGGCGGCAACGCATCCTCGGGCACTCCAACCTGCACAAAAGTCCCATCCCGCTTAAGCAACCTCAAATACTGCGCAAAGGGCATATCATGTGCCGAAACCGTACACAAGATAACATCAAGCGAACGCGAGTATTTCTTCGCCCACCCCTTCTCCTCACCCGTAGCAATAAACCCATCAGCCCCAAGCCCCCCAACAGCATCGGCTTTCTTCCCAGACGACCGCGAAATAGCAACGACACGATCCGCCCCAAGAGCCCTAGCAAATAAAATCGCCAAATGTCCCAGCCCCCCAACTCCAACAATACCCACCGTCTTCCCCGGCCCAACCCCGTACTTTCTCATCGGTGCAAAAACAGTAACACCCGCACACAGCAACGGCGCCGCCTCGGCCGAGGGAAGAGAATCCGGAATCCGGAATACGAAATGCGCAGGTCCGCGCCATTTCTCGGCAAACCCGCCATACGACTTCGACTTATCGCTGTACCGTCCGTTGTATGTACCTGTCATGCGAGCGCAGTAGGATTCCTCGCCGTCGGCACAGGCTTCGCAGTCTGCGCGGAGACAGGCGCCGCTCTGTGCGCCGATGCCGACGCGATCGCCGAGACGGATTGCGTGAGGGGTGGAGTCGGATTCGATGACACTGCCAAGGCGTGTCACTGTGCCGATTATCTCGTGGCCGACTACACAGGGGTAGTCGGTGGGACCCCAGCCTGAGCGGAGGGTGTGGATGTCGGTGCCGCAGATGCCGCAGTGGGATATGGAGATTTCAACGTCGGTGGGCGTAAAGGGTTTTGGGGTATAAGTTGTGTATGTTAGGGGGCTTTTGGCATCGTGGGCAACCCAGCCTTTGAAGGTGTCTGGTTCTGTGTGAGGGGACATTGTTTGGTGATGGTGGTTGTGCCGTATAGATGTGCCGTATAGATGTGCCGTATAGATGTGCCGTGTAGATGTGCCGAGGTAGGTGTTTTGCTGCTTTGCTGGGGGATGGAATTGAGTAATTGGCAGATTTTTGGTAGGTTACTGGGGTGTAGAATTATAGAATTAGAGATCGGATGGTTTTGAGGTTGAATGATTTAAAGTAAATGCACGAAACAAGCTCGGCATACGATGCGGAGAAGCCGCCGACAAAGTTACCGAGGTCCATCTTAACTCCGGAATAGGCATACATTATTAGATTCATGTCGATCGTACGCAATTTTGAAAAGTGACTCCATATTTACATGTACTCGCTCCAGGTATGTATGTACAGTGCAGACTAGTGGGGGGTATCAATTGATCTTTCACCGGGCCACGCCCATCAGATCGTCAAGCTCATCAGTGGTGAGAGTACTCCGACGCCGATTTGCTGGTTTGGAAACTTTCTCGGGTCGGCTTCTCTTTCGTGATTCGCGCTCCTTTTGCTCGTTTTGAGCGGTACGGGCCTCGTCTTCGACGGCGGCCAATTTTTGGTGCACGCTCAGTGATTCGTTGGATTTGAGCTGTAGGGCGAATTAGTCCTGGGGATCTCCGGGGGGAATCTGAATATCCTGGGAAATATTCTCGTTGCATACCTGATGGGGTTCCTTTGTTCCGGTCTTTCGCCTGGTTGGCCTGCGGGTCACAGTTTCGACTTTGTAAGCTTTGATTTTAAGGGTATCGTCGTCGGTAGTGTCCACACATGGTGAGCCTTGTAAACCTGGCGTGAAGGAGACCTTCCGGGGACGCTTTGTCATGGTGTTTTCACTGCGTTCCCTCAGAACACGATCGGGTCGCTCGGGTACTTTGCGAATTTTGGATCTCATCTTCGGGGGATTGAGCATCTCCGGGTCTGGTGCTTTCTCCTCCGGTTCACTCATACCTTCCTCCTCATCTTGGTCCTCGAGGATTGTCGGGATGGGATTGGACTCTGGCAAACTTTGCATGCTCATGTCCTCGGCTGAGTTAATGCTAAGATCGAGATTCATGCCGCGCTTCAATTCATCCGCTTGGACAGAGTCTCCTCCATCTGCAAGACGACGCTGCCACCCACCCATCATGGTAACTGCCTGCTTCCACCGGGATTCCATCTTCACCCAGCCTTCTCGCAGTCGTTTGATCTCTTCGTCTCTCATCTCAACCTCTTCAAGAGGCACGAATGACGGGTTGGTAAGCAGTGTGCGTAGATGCTCTAGTACACCTTCCATGTGAACGGATAGTTCTTCACATGAGGTTGGAAGCGAAGTAACAGGCCCTGCAGAAGACTTCTGAGTTCCTACGCTCATAGCCATACCCGACTGCTCATTCTCGCCGTTCCCATATTCAGCCTGCGTCAAGCCTTGTAGATCTTTCAAAGTATGAATAGTGCTTCGCGCAAGCTCAATCAGGGTATCATTCTCATCACTGAGATGCTGGCATAACTCGGTCAAGAAGTCGGTGGTCTCCTGCTTCAAGCTATATCCGGGGTCGTTTACTCGTTCTCCGCCGCTAGCCAAAAGGCGGGATCGATCTAAGGCAGGGTTGATGTTGATGGTAGTCACACTCAGACCCTCGCGCTTGCCTCGTTGTCGCTCAGCCAGATGTGACTTGAGCTTCTGCATTTCCAGGTCTCGCTTGCGGATATCATTAGCGCATTGCGCTCGGACTTGTTGGACGGTACTCTTCATTCGTTGGACTTGCTCCTTGAAACTTCTGATGTTCGCTTCGGCGCTGGACATGTTGGACTTGAGCGTGCGCGTTTGCGCCTCTGCAAGAGCAAGCGAGCGAGTTAACTCCGATGTCTTCGTTTTCAGTTTTCCCTGCACAAACAATTAAGGTTAGCGCGCTGTGAACCATAAGTAGAGTGAAGACATACGATCTCCGTGGTCTGTTCCGCCTCGCTGGCTTGCAACGTGCGAATAGTCGTAGATAAGCTCTCGCGGTGTTCAGACTCGCGCTAGAATTTGTTAGTCGCTGGTCAAGTTGTATCTCAGTGCAGCAGGACACGCACGTCTCGCCTCAACACTAAATCGTTGACCAAGTTGATCACACGAGCCATGGTGCCGTCTATCCCTCCATCTTCGTTTTCTGGGTCGGCAAAATCGATAGCGCGACCACCTTTCAGCAAGCCCCTTGCCAGTAAGATGTTGTTGACATAGGTCGAAGCTGCCTGCAGGTTATGCGACTCCATGGCAGCGATCACTTCTATTGTCGACGCAGATAACTCCGAATGCCGAATGGGGAAGAAAGTAAACACGGAGGTGCGGGGGCCCTTTCGTGCCAAGTGTGCAGTTATATGGGCGGAGAGACAAGGAGCTGTTATTCTGCCCGTTTTATTGCGGAATTGTTGCGTTAATCACCTTTTAAGTTGATATTTTTTCGAAGATTCCCATAAAAAAATATTCAAATTGAACATAACCATTTTTCGGAAATTAGAAGAGCCAACCCACAATCCAGACACAATTGAATGATATTTTGATAGTAACATGGTGCGTCGTCATGTGCATAATGCGTGGGTATAAGCCATCACCCAACCCCCATGTTTTATTTGTCTCTTGCGTGGCATTAAACCTCTCCCTCCTACCCCACTACTTAATTCTCACCAACTGCCTTTGCATCTGCTCTTCAACATGGCTTCAAGACCAGGTACGCGTATAGTACGCGGAGTAACATCCAAAAAGAAGGTTGACATAGAGCAGGCTGCTACTCTTCAGCGAGCAGGCCAAAATGCTTACAAAGTTGGGGATCTTCAAGGCGCCATTGAGTCTTTCACCCAGGTAAGCCCCATCTTGTTTGTTCCGTCGCGACTCGTACTAATCATCCGTATATCTAGGCATTGGTGTCAAACAATGAGGACACTGGAGTTCTGGATAATCGCGCGGCCACATATTGCAAGCTGAAACAGTACAGCCAGGCACGCGCTGATGCCAGAGCTATGGTCAAGCTTGCACCCAATGACGACCGTGTAATTATCCGCCTCGATGCTTACTTCTCAGCCATGGGTTCATAGCTGACTTTGGGAAAGGGGTATCTGCGCTTGGCCAAAGTCCTATGTCTAGATGGGAACTTCGACAAGGCCCGAGACATCTACGAATATGCCCTCCAAAAACTTCCAGCTGATCACCAAGGCCGCAAGGTATGTTTCTCTTTCTTTGCTTTCTGTTCTGTTCACTCTTCAATGTGATATCTATTTCGTTACATTTATTTTCCCGTACTGACCATCTCCAGGTTATCGAGCAGTTACTCAACAAATTACAGGATAAGCTGGCAGGAGGAAACCGGCGCGATCCATTTACGATTCTGCCCCTAGAGATCGCAGAACTCACCCTTCGGCATTTCTCCTTCAAGCAGATCGTGTAAGTGTTCATCATCACCTCTGAGGTCTACTAGCTCACGACAGCATATAGGGCAATCCTGCGCGTCTGCAAAGGATGGAAACGGTTTTTAGGCGGTCTGACTAGCCTCTGGATGTATGTTGACCTCACCGGAGCTAGATCTCATGTACCTTGGACATCTGTCCGAAACTACATCCATCAATCGCGAGCGCAGCTGACCAATGCCACCATTACAAATATCGTGCCATCTACCACGCCTAAGGTGCTCGACATGCTGAGCAGATGTCCCCAACTAGAGCACCTAGAATTGATGGTTTCCCATGACCAGCCTAAAGAGTTCTACCTGAAAATCAAAGATTTTCGACGTCTCAAGAGCTTAGTCTGTGGAGCAGACATCAGCCTTTCTCATGCGTGTGTTGGGAGTATTTTATCTACCCTCTCGAAACTTGAGAAGGCTGCTTTTCTCCATGTTTGGAACAATCCTACCAGATGGCCCCGGCCCAGATCGACGTGGCCTGAACATCTCCCAAATATGAGAAGTCTAACTATTGCGTCTTCACAAGAAAATCCTCCCGAGTCGGATGTACTTCCAGGGTTGGGATTCGTAAGCTTTCTCTGACTTTGATATCTCGGACTTGCGCTAACACAACCCAGTCTGTGTATCCCAACCTAGAGGAGCTGGGATTAATTTGGGAACCTGCACGATCACAATCATACCAATTTGATCCGGTACAAGGGAAGGAGCCTCTTCCCCCGATCCGCATACTAGATCTTCGGGGCGCGGCTGTCCGACATGTTTTTTATTCAATCCTTCCATCCAGCCTTGAGACCTTACGGTTGTTCTCAGGGTCCATTGAGATTTCTCACCTTGGTAGAAATATGTTGACGCCGGGAGAGAATGAACTCCCAAACCTGAAGACCTTGATATTCAATGACACCCCATGGGTCAATCGCTCCACACTTTCTCTATTCTTACTTCATTCCAAGGCTCCCCTCCGAACCCTTCATGTGAACCTTTGCCACAACATCAACAGCGAGGACTTCATTAACATTCTTAACGATCCCGACGGAGTGAATCCAGAATTGAAAGAATTAACTGATGTCGGGGTTGCCTGCATGGCTGGCATGGACGATTGGGGCGTCGGAAATCTGTCGGCAGTATTGCCAAATTTGAAAGTCCTTGACTTGTCACAGACGAGAATTACCGGCTGTACCATTCGCATGTTTGCAGATGCCCGGAATGATGAATCAGCCGTTGAAAAGCTCGACGGCTTAATCATAAGAGGATGCGACGATGTGTCTCGTGATGCCATTGACTACGGACGGCAAATGGGACTCAAGATTGTCACCTAGGTGTTGGCAACATTTGGTAATGATCTCTTTGGCGTATGATACACAATGACCCAGGGCATCACCCTTGTACAATACAATGAACCTGAACTTGCATGGAAACGATAGATGATATGAGTATGAAATTGATCTCGAAACTGCCTCCACGATCCTCGTTATTTTAGTCATACCTTAGCCTCGCAGGGTCTTAGTCCGTCCTGGGAAAGAAAATACGGCCAAGAACTATCTAGCAAAGACCTCTGCAACAGCACCAGTTGATGCAAAACATAGAAGTCAAATTTTCGAGTTTGCTACCCAAGAATTACTGTTCTACAATTGAGATTTCATACTGAGCCTGGGCCTAGCGGTGAAACATCGGCTTGAATCGGTAAATAGACAAGATAACGGCGGATATCGACAGTTACACACGAGAATAGAAGATAACGCTGTCTTACAATTTCAGGCAATACATTAATAAAGCGAGAAATAAGCAAAAGCCAGCTACCTAAACCCCCCGTTCCTGACACCACCGCTCAACCTCTCTAGCCAACTTCTCCTTCTGATCACGCACAAGTTCCATCATAGGCTCAACCTGCTTCCTGTGCGATGCAACAAGATCCTCATTACCGTTGACAATAGCGACACCATCCTTCGGCGCAAGATTATCATCATAGATTTTGACCATAAGCTCCATAACAGCGGAGAGCTGATTCGGAAGCCACTACAAGCCAACAATCAGCATATTGACACTCACGCAACAGATAGATGGGACTTGTACTCACAGTTACAATGGGACTACCACCAGTAGCAGTAGGATGCGGCGTACGGCGAATGATATACTCACGCGCGAACAACCAGTGTCGCCAGCGGAAGCTGCGGATGTGGTTCAGCGTGCGCAGGAAGAGGACTGCGGTCTCGGAGTCTTGAATGGCGTATTTCTGAACGCCGATTTCTTCAGATTTTTCCCGGATGTAGGTTAAGAATTCGCGGTGAGGGAGGGGGCGGTAGGCGCGGAATTCGTGGAGGATTTTGGTGAGGGGTGTTTCCGGCATGGGGATTTCGCAGAGGTGGTCTAAGAGGGGGATCTGGGGTTTGGTTAGTTGGGGTTGATCGTTTATTTCTTTTGGCAATGTTTGATTGCTTACGATGCTGTCGTTGGCACCGCTCTCGCCACGGAAGTAAAGGGGCTTGTTGTCTTCGCAGCCTTCGTAAACCACGCCGTTCGGGAACATGGATTGGTTGGTGATTCCGAAGATGAAGACGCGGAATGAGAGGTATTCTGATGGCTTAGAGTTGCCCCACATGTCTAATTTAATGTCAGCTTAGAAAATCTAAAAGATCGAATCATGAAGACTAGAGTTGCATACCTTCCATGGATGCTTCGATTTTCTCCATCGACTTTAGGATCTCTCGGAATCCGTCGTTAATTTCCTGTCTGGAGCCATGCTGTTCAAGGGAATCAACGATTTTCAAGACACCTCCAATGAGGGGGCCGGTTTCCTTAACCATATCGACATGGGTCAGGATGAAGCCTGCCTCTGAGCTCTTAGGGTCGAGACCTTTCTCGAAGGAGCGAATCAGACGAAGGTTGGAGTACTCGCTCAGACCCTTGGCAGGGTCAGCGACGGTGTAGTTGAACAGAGCATATGAAGCAGCATATGACATGAAAGGTGGTAGGTTTAGGCTAAGGATGGGTGTTAGTTACACTGTTGTTATATGATGAAGTTGTGTATCAATATGATCCACAAGATATTAAGGTAATAAAAGAAGGGAAAGAACAGAGAAGTCTTACATCTCAGCACAGCGATACATAGGACGAGCAACAGACTGGGGCAGGACATCACGACCAAGTCCATAGCCCCCTTCCGGGTCATTGTTCCAGTGCTCCCAGCAAGGCTCGAGCAGGTAAGACGAGGCCAAGAAGGTATAGTCACGGAAGACTGCAGCAATAGTGAAGCGATCGTGCGAGCCATCGGCGAGGACCAGCTTCTCGACCTCGTCAGTCAGGTCGGTAAGCTCAGCCTTGACAGCAGGGCCAAGCTCATAGGTAGCCAACAGACCGGGCTTGCCATCGAGCCTAACGACAGGGAGACGATTGACGAGAGACAACAGGGCACTGAAGGCCTCTGGTAGCTCAACAGGTGCTGTCTCATAGGGTAAAAAACCCGTCTTGGTGGTGATGGTGAAGGGGTCTAGGGAGTGGGAGATGGATGAAGGGTCATCATGGATGTGAGGGAACCGCTTCAGGGTAGTAGGGGAAGGGTAAGGCACTTGGGTCCGAGTCATGATGATGTCAGATGAACCAGAGGAAAGAAAATACTTTAAATCTACCCTATATGGGTGTGGGAATAAAGGGTGTGTTGTGGTAGTATAAGGAAGAGGTGTAGGTGTATAAGCCAAAGGTTAAAGACCAAGTCAAGAGCCTAGGGAGTAGGGAAAATGGGTAAAAAAAGATGAGGAAGAAGCCAGGGGACTCTTAGAGATAAAAGGAGACTTAGAATTCTGAGATTTTGGGCGGGTGAGGAGCAGATTCTTATAATACTTTGAGGCCGGTAACAATTCCGGCCTCAAGTCCACATTACGAAAGAGAATAGGAGATAGCGTGGATCCTGCGATATCCGCTGCTATATGGCGGAAATTGGTTTTATCTATCCTTATTGACAGTCGAGGCACTTTATATGAGTATATTCAGCCAAAATAAGATATTTTGACATCCATCTCGACATCTATATGATCTATACAACTGCCCAGTGAGAGAGGGCAGTGGACGGTCACGGGATGGCGCTAGGCCCAATACAGCACTGGGGTTGAAAGACGGTTTCACTGCTTTACCTAAAATTTGATAAAAGCTTGTAGTGGCGTATGCTAAACCAGGTGTTCAAAATGCTTATAACGAAGAAATTAGCCCCTTAATGATGGTCTATTACGGATAAATGTGCAATGTTGTCTACTCAAGCCATGATGTATGCTTTATAGTCCATGCGCTGCCAAGCATTGATGACCAGATCCCGCCTTTTGATTGGACGATAAGCACAAATTTAACTTCCCTAGCGTTCGGAGGCCGGAATGCTACCGGCCTCCGAGAGTAGCCGGCCTCGTTATATGTCCTGGGCAGGTTTGATATAGAAGCCTTAAATTGGTATGACTTGTGTGATGCCTTCTGTGATTCCCGAGATAAAGTGAAGATTGGCCTATATGAGCAGCTTCATCTTTTTAAGTTTTTATTTATTGTCTTGCTATGCAACAAACTTGAAGTCGCACTGATACATCTTCAGATATATATTGGATGTGAACAAAAGAACCTATAGTACATTTGCGTCTCAAAAGTACTTAATCTATTCAACCACTCCTCTATGCGTTATATACCATACAATTGCATATAAATGTAAATGCCCTTCATGGTGGATAATCTCAGAATCTATCATTCCCTTCCATATAGTTTTCATGCAAACACACGCTCAGTCCTATTCACCACCAAAGTCCGAGAATTGTGATAAAAATTCCGGTGCAACTGCGGCAAAAAACACTGCAAGACTGCATCCCCAACACCAGCGGGCAGCGAGCTCTTGTCGCCCCAATAGTGCCTCACTAACTCCCCAGCACACCCAGTAGCTGCGACCTCAGGGCACCCATTTGCCTCTGCACAAGACAAGACGCGAATGTCTTCCGATCTGTTGAAGTCATATCTAACATGGTTCCCAAATGCAGACTGCTCATGTGGCCATTCCCCACCCCACCTCTTGCATTCCGGATAGCGCGTTTCGTTGGGACAACTCTCCCACGCCTCAAAGAGTTCATGGGTACGAGTGCTCTGCTGGGCAATAATGAAGCCCGTATTGAGAAGTGTGCGGTTATTCCAGTCACGGTTGTGGGGTGCGTCTGGATCAAGAGCCATGGCAACTAGAGTCTCTGGAGTGATCTCCCAATAGTTGAATAGCCATTCCATGGGTAGATTGGGGTAGGGCACCATGGCATCTGCATCTATGAATACAACGTATTCGTAGTATCTCAACGCTTCCCTGATCGCAGTGACTTTGGTCCATGTTCCAGATCGATCGACTGTTTTGGGGATTTGAACGAGTCGGTAGTCGTAGCCGTGAATCATTGCTTTGCTCGTCAGTCACAAGGTAGAAGTAGATAGAAGTGGAACTACCTACCGAACATGAAGTGGTTGAGTCTTCCACTTGTATCTGGGGGAAGTCCGGTCACGTTTAGTGGAGCCTTGCTCAAAACACCCTTCGGGCCATCAAGATGGCGGCTGTCGACGTCTAGAATGAGGATCTTCTTGCCTAATGGTTCGGTGAACCTCAATGGTTCCGCAAGCCAAAACATTTTCCCTGTGCGGCCGACAAATATGGGTTTAGTAATGGGATGTATATACGGATTGTATAGTTTGTGGACCGCGGAGGAGTATGGGGAGCTTTTGATAGTCCATTGAAAGTGTTTTCTATACTAGAGTCAGTGTTCAATTTCAACCTTTTGCTTTGGATGGTCTCCTACTGGGATGGTTGATAAATCAATACACTGTTCAAGCAGGAGTAGACCCAGAAGAGCGCACACGCTATCAAGCTCGAAGTAAAAATGGCGGTGACTCGGCGAGGAAACATGAGTCCTGATCTTGGATGGCGCATGGAGATAGTGTATGCATGTGAAATGGAGATTCAATCTGTAGATTTGGCATAGAGTATGGTGTCGATTGACATGACATAATGTTGATGAAGTATCGAATACCTGCCAGATTTCCCCTGCCCTTCCATTTAAGTACTCACCTCTTGCCGCTTTTTGCTCCGGAGAACTAACACGCCTTTATTTATTTCTCGTTTCCGTTCAGTCCAAGTCTTATATTATGTAGTGCGCCATTGACTAAAACGCTCTTCCGGATAGATTTCCGGGGTTCCGACGCTGTGTTTATTGAATTCCTCTTTTTTGACCGAACTTGTCGTCTCTTCAATTCGCAGTTCAATTGTGAACGGTGGAAGTCGATGATTAGAACACGCTGCAACACCTCATTCCACAGTATATTGTCTAAGCGAAGATCCCCATGCATCACTCCCAGGGAATTTATTTCTTTCCTAGAGCGTCGAACCTGACTTTGCAGTTGTGGAGAATGCTCTATACTATTAATAGTCTCACCCACTCCATGAGTAACATATGCCGAACCTCACCAGCCCCGTGGAGGAAGTAACTCATATTTAGGTCGATTGGGCCAAGAAACACAGGGATCGCTGACCCCTGGGCTCTCTGAAGAACACGATAAACTTCTATTTCGCGAGAAACCTGTGACCAGAGATGCGTTGTAGTCCCTTTGCCGACGACTGTGTAGCCATAGACGGCACATGTGATCTTGAAAGATGCACCATATGACCCGCACTTGTTGAGTGGTGTGCAATGTTGATCGATATCTGTATCCAATTGCTGGTTGAGCTGGAGAAGAAAGTCCGGTGCCGTGATTTGATGTTTGTTACTTCGGCCACGTGTATATAAAGCCACATTCGAACAATTTTCATCTAGGATGTCATTCTGCTGAAGTCCAAGCAAGCACTTCTGGGTACAGAACTGCATTGTATGTTGTTGGGACTGATCTCCTGGGTTATGACGAAAACCTCCCGACCGCGACAATTGCTGAGGAGGGGATGATGTGACCTGGCTAAGATTTCGCTTTCTTCTAGGTTCAGGTGCTCCCTGGCTCAAATCCGAGTCTGAGCCTGAGCCTGAGCCTGAATCTGGAGGATGGTTGATGTTTCGTGAAGGCGCACAGCCACTTTCAACCTGTGTCCGAGCCTTAGGCGTGGGCGATTGCAGAGGAGATGATGATGGTTCGTAGTCAGAGCCTGTGTATTCTGAACCTGATGGGGTTTCCTGTAACTCCACCACGGGGATCTGCGACCGTATAAGAGCAAAGCTGGTTGTCCAGGTATATAGTTTGGATTTAGCCTGCTTTCGCCAAGCATTATCGCGGACATGAGATTGACAGCTCATTAAAGCTAGACAGAGGATTCGAGCGATAGCCGTGGTCGGTTGTCGGTAGTTCAAGTCATCCTGCACCTCCATGTTGGGCTCTCACAGAAAGTATAATAGGGTATCGGGGGCTTCGAGCGGTACACGAAGAAGGACTATCGCAAGTCCAATAGTCACATAAGAGTATTCAAGCCCTTCACAGATCATAACGTGATATTCTTGAACAAGGACTGCCCCGACCATCTGCTCTGCGTTGTATTGCAGTTTTGATGTTTTGTCTGTAGGGATATATTCTCGCTGGGCCACTTCATCCCTGAAGTTCATTGGCCGCAGGTAAGATTCTCTACAGTGAGCTTGTGGGGTGGCTTATATTCGACAGTCATGAGAACGTCACTACTGCCATCTAGTTTGTGATGGATGCAGAACCGATCAGGCCTCGGTCGTTGCGATGGATCATCACGAGCACCAGCTTCAAACTATTGGTATGACTCTCAAAGGAGACCCCTTTACCAAGTCTGAAATGCTGCTGAGCTTCGGATCGATTACACGGCTCTGAGATGATATTACGCACATGGTTTTCAACACCAAGTTTTTCGTAAGTTACCAACTCGTCTTCAGAATGTAGAATACCCAATGATTTAGGAACGCCTTAAACTTCGGTCACAGGCCAGAAAAGTCGGTATGGATGCTCGCTGTCCGGTTGAAGGTGATCGCAAACTGAGTTATATATTTTTTACTGCACTACATGACACTCTTCCCCTCGATCAAGTCTTATAGGACAAGACTTCTCTCTAGGTAGGGGGAGCGTCCCTTAGGTAGAACACGATGAGGTTCTGACTTGCAAGGGCTGAGAAAGCAATTTATGGCAGGTTCGGATGAATTCGATGAAGGTCGTATTTTGGGTGGACTGTCTTTTTTCTTCCTGCGACTTCAGAAAAAGTTGCTTATAGTCGGGAGAGCTTTCTCGATCCATTTAGACCGAACCTTGGAAATCCACGTTGTTGTCTGGAGTCTGCAGCTCCTGTAATCAGTGACGTGTCGTAGACCGGCGAAAGTGTGGTCCCGAGCGAAGCCTACGGCCTGGTATATATCCCGCTACAGCTACAATCGGAGGTTCCGATTGTTGCTATGATCTTTTAGCCGATTGGTTAAATGCTCCTATATAACCACACATGTGCAGCGGCCTGAGTTCTCACCTGGATTACAAAACTCTTGGGCTGAGCATACAAAATGGTGGCGAAGGAGTAGTGCTTGTGTATAGACCTCTTGAGATATATCGCGTTGCAATTTTCTGAAACGGAGGTTTGGGAAGGTAAACTAATAAGACAATTTGCTTAAATTGATCTAGATTTTGAAATATTTCATCCAATGAGAGACATCTTGAACAAGCCAATAACGAATGTTACCTCCCATATTGAGCAAAGGCCTAGGCTATCCCGATCAACGCATTAAGATCCTGGAGCAGTTGCTGTACCAGCTCCATATTGTCTGATTTCTCACGCACTGCTTTCTTGAGTGCACTGACTGCCTCCTTAGTATTTCCGGCCACTGCCTCCCCAGACTGCAGTTTCTTCTCCACAGACTTGATACTTTCCTTCGCACTTCGTATCTGCGACCAGTACACTGTGGTCTTGTTGAGATATCCAGTTTCCTCAAGAGGCAAATTCCACTCATGAGGAGTCGTCTCGACGATATCCAACCATTTTGCCATGTGCGGCCATCGGCGCTCCTCCAGGCCCGGGAAGTGCACAAGCAGATCTCCCCTTTTGCCTTCATACGCCCAGTCCCATTCGTAGGTGTTGATCCATGGCCGTGGCAGGTAGGAGACTCCATCCGCGTAACCCTGTCCCTTTGGACCCCCGGTCGTCTTGTTGAGCACACGTCTCATGCCTTCCTGGTCGGCAGATCGACCGAGGTCAACCTGAGGGAGATAAAGAGGGTAGCCCATCGTTTCGGTAAGGAAACTGATCATCCAAGAATGGACGTGGAGGAACATGATTCCCGTGTTGAGGCCATTTTGGTCCTGGGTTGCTACCAAGTGGATACCTTTTAGGTCTGATGGCGGAAGGAAGATTTCAACGGGGATGTCATTGTTTAGTATAATCGAGTCTGCATCTACCCACCTGTAAGAGTCAGTATTTCTCAAGCACAAGAAAAAAGAAAAATAAGACATACATCAACCATTCCATTCTCTCGCCAGCTGGCTTGGTCAATTCATTGATTACTAAAGATAGCAGATAGCTCGGTTTATTCCAAAATCCGACCGAGATATCCTGTCGCAGGATATGCATGGGGTAACCCCATCGTTTCCCGTGGCGTTCATGGCTTTGCAGCGCTCTTTCGTACATATGATTCGTCTCTCCGTATAGCATGGAAACTTTGGCGACTCTTTGCAACTTGTTGCTGGGAGTATCATCTGACTGGGGGATATTAAACGTCTTGTAAGACTTGATTGAGACCCTCAAAACACATATAACTGATAGAAATACCAGGATGATGTTCAAGGGTCGTTGTTTGAATGCCATTCGTTGAATCATGGCCGGCATTACCGCGCAGGTACCAGGCTTTTCATGGTAGATGAGAAGATGAAAAATAATGCTTGCTTGAGATAGATGAGATTATTGCTAGATTTAGAGTCGAAATATTTGATTCGGCTCGTGTTGTATGAATCCGTACTTCCGGATTGGGAATGCCGTTTTCGGCAACTCAACCATATCCAATCGTTAGCGATGAATAAAATCCAATTAAGTTGGTTTATAAATAGATATTAGTTCAATAATTGTAAGCAAAAAGCTCATTTAGTCTAGAACCCATGAAAAGCTGTGTTGCGTACGGGTCCGGGCCCACTGCCCACATGGCGCGTATGAAGCTCGTAACGGTGGTGTCCAGGAACACCTTCAGTGGGGGTGGGAAGTAGATTGATGATAAGAAGAAAGGTTACCAGGTCTCTAAAGAAACATACCTGCGACTAATAATAACACGTAATATATTATATTAGAGCATTTAACCGCCCACACTACATGGCCCCATACTATATTATAGACCAAATAATCATAACAGAATGTCCGATTATTGTCACCGCACTGGTGTATATACTATAGGTCTTAACCTTGTTTTGGGATCATGGGGCAACCCGGATTACCTGGAAACTACAGCATTGGGCATAAGATATCGGTTAAATAGTACCTAAACCGGTAGAGAGACGATTTTCATTTTATATGGTACAGATGAGGGTATAGTATACACCACTGGTTTCAAATATTTGTACAGCATCACATATGCAAACAGCTTTAACTCCTTGTTCCCATGCATCAGCGACCTGGCCGCCCGTTGAATTGAATTCATTGGTATAGCCAGAACGCATCCAGATCAAATCGCGAACTGGATCGCGCGAAAGAACGCAGCTTGATATCCACAGTCAAACACATGCATTATGATCCAGGATTTGTGTTGTGACTGGTTGTATTTGAGTCGCCGGTGGTGCTATGTACCGTCTGGAGCTTGAGGTACTCCTGCTCGAGGGCCTTTTGCATTTCAAAGTCGGCCTGGCGTTCTAGTCGGACACGCTGCTTTTCCATATCGCGTTCGACTCCTTTGTGCATAGCCTAACATCAAAAAAAAAGTCAGTACATACCATGAAAAGAGCATTAATGCTGTAACATACCGCTCTATCCGCCTCTTGTGCCCAGTGGACAAACCCGATAATACCCATTGTGCCGAGGCCAGTGGCTGCTAATGTGAGTTTTGATGCGCGAGACATGGCAGGATATGTGAGAGCACGGCTCGACACAGAGGTTCAGCAAATTGGTCACAAACAATGTCCTGGCGTGTTAGCTGTTCATCAAAACGAGTCCGGGATTATCAGTTTATCGATCACCGGGCGGCGTTTGGTGGCAGAACCCCCACCGCTCTGGGGGCGATGCGTGGCTCCGATCGACCTAGGCTCGGAGCTCCAGACTCGCCGTTTAATCGTCCCTTTCCAGCCTTATTTTCCTTATACCCTATTTTCAAAGCCCAGAGGTCTCTCGCAAATATGGTGAGCAGTCTATCTCGGAATTGGTGGCTAGTTGCTAACAGTGAACAACAGTCGGCTCAGAACTCCGCGGGCATTCAGACCCTCCTCGATGTAGGTCTTGGTTGTATGTTGAGCGCAGCGCGGAGATGCTAACCACAGAACTGTCAGGCCGAGAGAGAGGCTCAGAAGATTGTGCAGAAAGGTAAGTCCGACTTCTGCTTACCCCTCATCGCTGCCTATCACAGACACTAATACGTCACCTCACATTTAGCCAGAGAGTGTACGCAATACAAACCTACCTGTCGCCATTCGCTTCATCGAACTAATTGTTTCGCAACTATACAGACCGTACCCAGCGGATAAGAGACGCCAAGTCAGAAGCCCAGAAGGAGATCGAGGAATACAGGAACCAGAAGGAAGAGGAGTACAAGAAGTTCGAGGGCGAGGTGAGATACAGCTTCTAAACGGCGGTTATAACCAGGTGGTTTCACAGTGCTAACCTGACTGTTTCACTAGCACTCAAGCGGATACAAGGTATCCGAGGCGGAGGCCGACAAGGAAGCCGAGGTCAAGCTCCAGGAGATCAAGGAAGCCGGCAAGAACCAGGGCGACAAGGTGATCGCAGACCTCATTCGTGTGACGACCGACGTCAAGCCCGTAGCGTCTGAGAAGATCAAGGCATAATGTAGATATTCTGGGTTATCTTTTCTTTCCTCGCGTGAATGCGCTTGCGTGTCTGTTCATCGATATCCAATTGTCGGACAATATCAGTTTCTTTTTATTTTAACCCTGTGTATATGACGGATGGGGTCTAGGTCTCACTCATGTTGGGATACGTATGTTATATCTCATGGTGTTCCTGGGGGTCTGGCTTGCATCTAGGTTTTTCGATCTGCGGCCAGTCTGAGTATTGACCGCCACAACATATTTATTCGTCCTTATTGACCCAGGTTACTCTTAACCTCTTGTAGAGGGCTATGTTTCGGCGAACTTGAAATACATCACCAATCCATCAAACCAGACAACACCCCTGATACCCATATATCTTCTTACTCGATACCAGGTGATGGCAACGAAAGGCGCAGGATGATTCAATGCGCTATGTGATCCCCTACGCAGGTGTAAATACCCGCTCCCGTTGGATGTATCTCAGGGCTAAGAGGCACCATTGGCAACACATGCTGGCACCAGTGGCGCTATTGGTTTAAGGGGTGTCTCTACCACTCAGATCCACTGCCAGGCTATATCAGTTGCGTCTTATAGGACATCCTGCTTGTTCGGTACAAGACAATTTCAGATTTCTAGCAATGGTATGTTCCAAAAACACCATGTTGTCCTACGTGTCTTTCTTCTGGGCCACTCCGTTCTCTCCAGCAGTTCGGTGGCCCCCACAACAGGCAATTGCAGCACAAGAGAAGGCAGTTACAGTTCTTGCTACTACTTTAATTCTGTCTCTCTGCAACAGTTTTGAAGTATACCGTGACTACATTATTCCATAGGATCGTCAAAATTGCTGCGATGCGAGAGTGGCTGTTGGAATTTGTCTATTAGTAGATCTTGAGATGATTGATTGTCATTTCGAATTATTTCCCCTGTAAAAGTCACTTGTTATAATGAATCAACTTTCGAAGGGTTAGCTGAGTAAACTTTTCTTTCCCTTTTGCATAGGTTACGCTCTTGGTGGTATAAGCAACAGAAGTATAGTCCATGTTGGCCTGAGGCACCAACACTGTTTCGCGTTGCGTCATTCCGCGCCCAGGTCTCGTTCGACAACCTATCTGCGGACGACGCAGAACAATGAAATATGCAATTCTTACGCGGAATGCACTGAAACGGTCTTCAATAGCCTGCTACTCATATGGCCAGACTGTATGCCACTCTAACAACAGGTGGTATCACGGGTCTCCACGCAGACCCAGACCAAGTCTCGAGCCGCGATTAGAGGACCATGGCAAAGTAATTGTTGATGAGTACTCAATCATCCGTGATAAATATGGTTTGTTCCTTTAGACTTGAATGGTGTGGACAATTGCTGACTCGCGATTAGCTGCACCAAAATACCCTGTCGTTCTCGCCCATGGCTTGCTCGGGTTTGATGAACTACGCCTTGCTGGCCCATATCTACCCGGTGTTCAGTACTGGCGTGGAATTAAAGAGGCATTGACTGCGCGAGGTATTGAAGTTATTACGGCGACAGTACCCCCGTCAGGCTCTATTGAGGCACGGGCTGAACAATTGGCCCGAAATATTGAGGCCGATGCTCAAGGGAAAGATGTTAATATCATTGCGTATGTTACCTTCATTTCCTGGTTACGCATATCGACATATTCTGACTGATTTCTGTATAGGCATAGCATGGTGAGACCCCTTAATCATTGTGATAGAGTCAATGCTTATCTGTGACTAGGGGTGAGGCATAACAAGAGGATCATAATCTATAGCGCAAGCTAATTAATGGCTTGCAAAGTGGTCTTGATTCACGATATATGATTAGTCACATACGGCCGGAGAAGTTCAAAGTCTTGTCACTGACCACTATCGCATCTCCGCATCGAGGTCTGGTCCATCATAGCTTTTCATTCGCCTTCGTGCTAACTGTCTAGCAGGTTCATCTGTGGCGGACTATGTACTTGATCAAATTGGAGGTTAGTCACTATTTACTCGCTTACTGGGATGACTTAGAAGATAACATTGATTTCTGTGCAGCCGATCGCCTACCTCAGATCTATTATGCCCTTAATCGACTCAGTGTCGAGACAGGTGCATTCGCTCAACTAACAAGGAAATACATGACCGAGACCTTCAACCCCAATACCCCAGATGTAGATGATGTCAGGTACGTGCTACATATTCTCCCCACTTTACGCCCTGCCAACATTCCCTAGATATTTCTCCTATGGAGCAGCAATGGAGCCAAGTATATGGTCTGCCTTTCGGCTTTCACACCGAGTACTTGCGGAAATTGAAGGACCCAATGATGGCCTAGTCAGTGTGTCTAGCAGCCGCTGGGGAGGCGATGCAGGCTACAAAGGAACCTTGATGGGCGTGAGCCATCTAGACCTGATCAACTGGACCAACCGGCTTAAGTGGCTAGTCGGAGAAGTAACAGGCAACAAACGGAAGTCAGTTGATTGCAGATGATATTTTGGGAATAAGGCTGATTTTCATGCAGGTTTAACGCCATTGCATTTTACTTGGATATTGCAGGTATGTGTTACGGTCTGATTGGGTCACTTGAGACTAATAAGCTGCCTATTCACTAGACATGTTGGCCAAAGAGGGACTTTGAGAAAGATATAATTGGATTTCCTTCATGTTGTGGCTGGATTCGGATTTGATATGGGAAATTCTGGTGCCTGGAGTTGGAAACCGGATATTTTTTTCTTCCTCTTCTTACCTACGTACATATATGTATAGACATATTATTGTATGAAATCCAGTAAATTTGTTAACTAGTAAAATAGACGATTGCATTTCAAATAATTTATTTACCCAGGTATGTAGCTATGAAGGAGTGTACATACACAAACCGTCGAACTTATAGTTTTCGGGTACTAGCGGAATTGAGACCGTTGTCTTAGAAATGTGGCTGTGATGTGGTTGAGGCGCAGCATCTCCGTCTAATCCAGACCTCTAGCCTTCAATCCTGTAAAAGTCCCTGATTATGCTGGAGACTGACTGTGGCAGTTGCATATTGCTTGGCAATCAGTTGATCCCGCGAACGCTCAAAACGTCATTCGGGGATCTTTCGCATATAATCCACATTTCCCCCCTCATCTCACAGGCCCACATCTCGTCCTGAGATTGCCTTACTTGCATCTTCCAACAGCTTAATACTTGTCGCATTGTTTTCCAGCGACCGTGTTTCCCCCATTTGACCTTCGAACGTCGGCACCAACCGAAGTGAGAGCCCCGCCAGGGCCCGGGCGCCCGCCGCCATGTCCGCAAATATCGTCTTGGACAGCCGTCACACCCATTATACAAACCTGGACTTCCTCAAGGGCAAGGTTGTGCTAAAGCTACCGACGGAAGCAGCCATTGGGGCCATTCAGGTTAAACTGGAGTGCGAGAGCCGCACTCGTCTATCCGGTCCCAAGAACCCCCAAAATGTGCACTCGGACAAAAAGCGAACGGAGCTTGAGGTTCACAAGGTGAGAGGATGTGGTTTATCGTACTTATCGGCGAGATAAATATGGACGGGAACATTGGTTAACGAACGAATGCAGATATTGTACAAGGTTGCTACCGTCTTCCCGACACCAGGTGTGATGCAGAATGAGTCCCCTGCGCCTACATATACCTTTGCCGCAGGGTCATATGAGTACCCTTTCGAATTCAAGGTAAAGAATCTAAAGAGTCTTTTCTATGGCAATTAGAACACTTTTAACGCTTTACTAGTTCCCCTTCAATAATTCATGCAGCAGCACCAACAGCATGCTCACCAATCTAAACTTCTCCGGGTTGAAAGTTGAGGTGGCTAAGGACACCAATCGACACGTCAGAAAGACTCTCCCGCCATCTTTAAGCGGGTTCCCGGGCGTAGCAGATATTAAATACTTCGTCAAGGCGACAGTCATCCGGCCGCAGTTCTACAAAGAAAATATCAGATCGGTAAGTGATATGCTCAGATAATACGCGATTATCGCACTCGCTAATTGGCTTCTTAGATTGTGCCCCTTAATTTCCTTCCAATTGAGCCACCAAGAGTCGGGAATCCCAATGAGGAAACCTACGCCAGGCGGCAACACCAATTCTCCAAAATCCATATGGCATCTAAGAAAAAAAGTATCTTCTCGCGGGGATCTTCTTCTACACCCCGAGAGTCATATGCAGAGCCTCCTCGGGTGTCTGTGGATGCTCGACTCCCCAACCCGTCTATTCTCACTTGCAACGAACCTGTCCCCCTCCGTCTCCTCGCCAAAAGGCTGAGCGAGGGACCGGACGCAATCTTCCTTCAGATGTTGCAGGTGGAACTAATATCATACACAAAAATTTTGGCTCATGATCTCAACCGCACTGAAATTAACTCATGGGTTATTATGAGCCGCAGCAATATGAATATCCCGTTAGGCAAGCCAGGGGACCCTGTAGGCACTGATTGGACTATTGATCCAACACTGTGGAATCGGTATCCCTTACCTAACTCGGTGGCGCCGTCCTTTGAGACATGTAACATTGAAAGATCTTACGAGCTGGAAATCCGAGTGGGCTTGACCCATGGATTCCAGGTATGTTGAATCACCAACCCCTAGAGTTGTCTCTTGGCTGACCATGGCATAGCCTCAACTTATTGTCCTGCCCCTGCGAATGCCAGTCAGAGTATTCTCAGGAATCGCTCCTCCACAGGCCCTCCTGGATGCGATGGCCGCTGCATCACTTCAGCCATCATCGTCGTCCTCTAAACAGAAACCCCAGCCCAGCTTGCCAGCAGAGAGGGGAGGCAGCCGACCACCCATGCCACCACGGCCAACCGGCGAGCCTGTACCAGTCAATTCTGGAGACGTATATGATGACGCACCACCCAGTTACGAGGATACTATGGGAGACCACTTGAGTCCAGTGGATGGACCACGCCGCGAGTATCACCCACCAGACGCCTCATCACAGCACACAGTAGAATCTGGAACTGATTCCAAGTCCGCAGCCCAACCGGGTAAGGCGCTTGAGGATGAGCCCGCGGCAGAAGGATCCTCGGCGCCTCGTCGAGACAATCGTGCTTCCACAGAGTCTTTCGACATGCTACCTACCACACCCCCGGAGTCACCATCTGGATCGCCTCCCGCATCCCCCGTGAGACGTCCCGCGAGCATGATGAAACTTCCTCGGAACACCGTTGATGAAGAAAGCCCGCCGCAATATGAGCCTGTTGCGGGAAATCAGTTGAACGTCCCTCAAGCTGTGCAACGCCAGCCTTCACGGAATAACCTTCGCCCCATGAACTTGGGTGTTCCTAATCGGAAGCCTGTACCGCGAAGTTCAAACCCTTGAGGCTAATTGACTCAATAGGTGGTTTGATTTCACTAATTTGGTCATGTTTACTCCTCTTTCACGCTCAGTGTTCGGGTTTGAAATAAATTGGAGCTTCATAGTACTTTGCCAGTGGTTATTCCCGCACTCATGGCATTACCCATCAAACAAAATGCATTATTGCTACCTTCGAACTCGATACCCCATCAAATTTCAGTGATGAAAAGTGTTTTTAATATCTCTTGTTCTTGAAATTCATCCTTGGTCTATGGAGGGGTTAGTGTCTAAGGGATCTTTAATTGAACTCATCGGGTGTAGCGCCTGTTCGATGCGATAATTTGTTGAAATACACTTAGTCTGAAGAATGAGCCCAATTCAATGAAGCCGATATCATTCAGTGTGCATCAGGCCAGTACAGACATAGGTTTTTTTTACGGGGATATCTCACACATGATATCCATTTCCCGTTTATCAATGTAAATTATCGGGTATGCTACTTAGAGTGGTCACAGTGATTGTTTCTTGACCTGGTCTAACACTGTATATTTTCTTAAAGCTTCGTCACATTTCGGCCCAATGGATTTCACACTCCCCTGCAAGGTACAACGGCCGCCAGCAAGAGGTCGACATATCCTTTATTTCAAGGCAATCAGAAGGGGATACCACAAGGCTACCGGTACTATGATATTGTGGGAGCCAAACTTCAAGAGCCAAAGTTTTCAGTATATATGCCCACGTAGGTGCTATGGCTATGTGAGATAAAGACCATATAGTTTGAACGCACCTTATCCCAAAGTCAAAGTTAATAATCAAAGGGGCAAGAAAAGTAGCATTCGTCATATCATAGCGCTCAGTGTGACCAAACCTCCTGCAACACCCAGCCGTTCTCATCTTCCTTCCAATCTGCTTTGTTTCTTTCGATGCCTGGCATAAGAGCACCGGGGTTCCGGTCTGGGGGGGCAAGTGCAAATCGATAAAAGAAGCGATCTTGCCACTCCTGCGGTTCGTCAGGACGATATGGGAATCTAATCCCGGAGATGTGCCTATAGAGTGTTAGATAATACTCCCCTATTTTGAAATATAGGTGAATACCCGACGAAACTTGTCACGGATGGCCTCTCTCTCGTTGAAGGGCCGAAGCCGGAATTTGAGATGATCAAAGGAATCGCCAGGAACTTTCTCCCAGACAACATAGGTAACAAATCCCCCAGGAACTAGGTCGTCTTCCTTCTGCTTGCTTTACTAATAGCCCCGTAGTCTCGGGACGACCTCACATCCGTGTATCAGGAAATACTTTAGGGCGATCAGTTCTCGGTTCTCTGGTTCCTCGACAGCCGGCTAGCCCCAAGGCTTGCCTTCTTAAATTCGGTACCAGCATTAGGTACTTGTTGGTGGATGCGCATGAAGGCGAACTTGGCTTCATTGCCGGGACCGGCGGGACGACAAAGGAACTTTGCTACAGTGTCTGAGACTCCAATACCATTGCTGGCATCTTTTGGGATCAACCGATATGGATCCTCTTCAGCTTCTCAACAATTACCCAGGTCTGGGCGGGGAAGTGAAACACCTCTTCGGTAACAGCATCAAGCGTCATCTTAGTCCCATCAAGGTCGGTGAGGTATTCGAATTGAGATGTCATGTTGGTTTTACTATTAACGTGATGAGAGTATCCTTGGTGAGGATGTGTAAGAGAATCAATGGCTGAGGTGCGGGAGGAAAACGTTTACAAGTTCCAGATCCTCTATTACTAGAAATTACTACATACTTAGTTAGGTAATTAAGTAGAGTTAGTTATGTATGAATAGGTTGATGCAATCAGAAGGCACCTGGGCATCTGCCCAGTCTAAGGTTATACATAGAAACTGTCGATTTGCAGATTTTTAAACCGTTTTCTTCTATAGCTATCTACAGCTAGATACAACTGGGGGAAATAGACATCTGAAAAGACATCGAAAAAGACTACCGAAAAAGACGTCGCAAGGCATAAGATGTATATAAAAAGGAACATGATGTGCGCTAATCCAAAAACGGCTAGCGCATCCTCCACGCGGATTGAGCTCTGCTTTCTTCTTCCACAGCTCATGTCCAATCCTATGGGCATCTGTCCTCACATTGTATCTTAATCAAAACTCCGTTAGACCAGATCGGACTTGATTAACCCCGCACCGAAACATTACCGAGTACTCGACTTGAAATCTCCCAACAGCAACACGAAAAAAGTCCGTTCACCGCGTCAATGATTTAGCTCGCGACTGACCATCCACCATGCGTCTCCACCTTGTTATCTCACGGCATGGCCTGCCGGTCACGCGCATTCTCTGGACGACGACTTCGTCTACTTCTGTACTAGGCGAGTATGGGACTCAACGCCCGGCATCAACAGCAGCTGTCGCATCGTCTCGCACCCCGAACATCGCCTTCTCGAATGGCGGGTACACGGTTGCACAACTACTCGAGGATGTGAATGAAGTTGTGCCGCTAGAAACAGAACCAAGTATCTTTGACGCGGAATTCAGTGGCCAGTGGGGATTGGAAGATTACGTCGTCGAAGTTGCTGGCTCGGAATGCCTTCATTTTATGGAGGTTGATGGGTTGCTCCGAGATGGAGACGAAGTTGTGTATGTGCATCTAATGATTGTTCTAATACTGTACACTGAACTAACTTCTCACCTTCTAGTATCCGCGCCCTTCAATTAGCAGATCTTCGGACCAGAAGGCTCTGTGGTCGCCACCAAATTACTGCCGAGGGCAAGCATCTGATCGACGGCGTGCCTTTTGGGTCACCGTTCCTGAAAAGAACTACCTCTACGCGACCTGCAATTACCATACCCCCAAGGAAGAAACGACGCACGGTTTTCTCTGGCTGGGAGCACGCTCCAGAGTTTGTGGCCGACGAAGTACATGCCGACGAGGAAGGTGATGGAGAGTGGCTTCCGCCTCCAAACACCGGGTTCGGAAAGGAACTTTCTATTGTGCCTCCCGAGCATGAAGAATCTATGGCCACTGTTATTCGCCATCCTGTTGACCACACTGCGGAATCTGACAGTGAAGCGGACATGTCTGAGATGCCTGAAATCGAGGAAGATGAATTAGAGAGCGAACTCCAAGCGCTCAAAGAGGACTTTGAAGAACCTTCTCAATTTGTTGACATCAGAAACCAGACTCGGAATGCCAGTGGGCACCCACTACGTGCTACCTCGATAGTAAAGCGACCAACTTCCAAGGGTTCACTTGCAGCTGCCTCATCTCTTTCCAGCAAGCGGTCTCGCGCAGAAGACTCATCCCCCAGGACATCCAAGGCTGTGAGGTTCAACAAGGGAGATGAGCAGGAGGACGAGGATATGCCTGATCTCCCACAAGTTCCCCAGGTTCCGCAGGCGCCACAGGTGGAGGAAAGTGCTGCTGAAACTTCTGACTCTGATTCATCCGACTCGTCTGCGTCTTCCTCCGATAGTGACTCCGATGATGATTCCGATGATGATTCCGATGATGATTCTTCGAGCGAGGTGGAGCCAGCGGCAGAGGCACCTGATTCTGATTCTGATTCATCCTCAAGCTCCGAAGATTCCGATTCATCAGACTCGGATTCCGAAGAGGAAGCCGCCGCGCCTGTCAAAAAAGTGCAACCAGTTTCTGTGGGCGCTCCTGGTGAAGGGTCCATCCGCACCAAAAAGAGTAACAATCGTATCAAACTACGCCGCCGTTTATCAAAGCTCAAGGAGCTTGGTGCTCTCCCCGAAAAAGCAGGCTTCGATGCATTGCGGGAGTGGGAGAGCAGCCACGGAGGCTGGCATACTCCGGAACAATACCTTAACCCGGAGCCATTTGTGAAACCCCAAGAACCTGTGGAACCGGAACAGGTATCTGCTGAATCTTCTAGCAAGAAGCAAAAGAGAGAAAAGAAAGAACGGGATCAGAAAGAGTTCGAAGCCAAGCGCCAGAAACTGCTTCGCGATCTTGCCTCGGGTAATGGTGTTGATGTAACCGAGACCTCGGAGAAGGAAAATGTCCCACCTGCCGCATCTGCCGTCGGAGAGACCCCTGTTTCACAAGAAGTGCCCGGCAAAGACCAGCCGGAGCAGGAGCCTTCGAACCGACGTACCCTGGACATAGCTAGCTCACGACGCATGCTGTTTGGGTCTCTCGGAATGCGAACCCCGAAGACCAAGGAAGACGAAGAGGAAACACGGAGAAAGCTCGCTGCCAAAGCTAGTGCATGCGGGCGCCGAAACAAACCTTCTAAGCAAGACACCCAAGAAGAGACCGACCAGATGCAAGAGGACGAAGATGCGTCCGACATTGATTGGCAAAACAAGCTTGTCATCCGTGCTGTCGAGTGTCTCTACCCCCAAGTTGATATGACCGCGCCTCCTTATCCTTTTGTTCAACGTTGGGACCAAGAAGCCAACGCATTGATCCGTGAGCTCAAGGGCCCCAACAAGAAACGGAAGAGAAAGCAGCGTGTTCAGGTCTACGAAGAATATGAGGAACAGGAGGAACACGATGAAAATGGGAATTACTACGGCCATGATGAGCAATACCAAGGCGGAGATAACCAAGCCAATCATGAGGGTCATTACGAAGGTGAGGCCGATCCGCATTATCAGGGTCATTGGGAAGGCGAAGCTGCCCCCTACTATGAGGGTCATTATGCAGGCGAAGCTGAAGGAGATCAGATGAATTATGACGATGCTCCTGAACCTGAAAAATCTACCTTCGATGACCTACCTGCGATCCCTGCCGACATAAGTTCTGTGCCTGATTTGGCCGAGAGCGAAGTGAAGGTCGGCGCAATCATTGCATTCCGGCAGCTAGACATGTCCAAAGCCACGAACTGGCAGCCTCAGATGTCTGAGTACCGAGTAGCTGAGGTGCGCTCTGTTAAAGATCATGGAGTGATTAATGTACTACTGGCCAAGCGAGACCGAAAGCCCCGTTCAGCATCCGAGTATGACTACGAGCCCCGTCAATTCAGCAAGTTTGAAGTACCAGACCTAGCAAATGACGAGGGAGAGGACGACGGCTATCGGGAGCTTGCCTTTGCGGAACTCAGCGATCCGAAGCTTCTTCAACCCGCAGCACAGTCGGGTGCTGAATCTGAGGACCAGAATAATACTCGAGAAGGTAGCATGTCAGTGAAATAAACTCTGATTGATGGCTCATGCTTACATGTCCAAGTGTCTCTGTAGTTCAAGAATCCGTACCGAATGCTCAACCAGTCCTTTCTGAGGAAATGTACCTTGACGACACAACCTTTGTCACCATTGGAAATGAAGTCAGCAGTCTTGAGTCCCCGCGTGAATCCCCGGGAATGCCCGATGAACCTATCCAACAAACTCCTGGCAGAGGTGTGCCGCAGATCCAAGTCCAGAGAGGGTCTGATGAGCGCAGTATTACACCTCCAATCCCTTCGCCTTCTTTCACTGGATTTCACTCTGCTCGATCCTGGCAGCAAATGACCCCTGGTGTTGAGCTCAGTCGCGAGCTTGAAGGCCATACTCTCATCGGAGGAGAAACGCCATCTGCTTTAGTCGGCCGGGACGAGGATCCTTCCGCGATGTCATATGCTTCTGCAAATCAATCCTTTGCCGATGATCCTGAGGACCAAGAAATGTCTGACCTTCAAGAGCATGAACGCCAGGTTGTTAAAGAAAATCTCGTGCCGCCTGGCGAGTCGGGGGAGAGCGGTCCTCAGTCTGGTTCACTCTTGTCCACCATTGACCGTAATGGTAACGATGGTGCGTCTGATTCTGACTCTCTGTTTGTGAAAAGAGATACGAGGAAAGAGAAGGAAAATGCGCCTCCCAACAGCTCTTCTGAATCGTGGAGAGGTCTTTTAAACAGATTAAGGAATGGTCCATCGGAGCCAGGCGATTCACTCGTCACGAGCGATGCCGACAACAACAAAGACGACGGCAACAACAACAACAGCGAAGACAACGACAGCGACGACAGCGACGACAACGACGATGACGACGACGACGACAACAACAGCGAAGGCGACAACAATAAAGACAACAACAGTGAAGGCAATCAGAGTCCCGAGCGGTTGGAAGACAGTGTACAGCACTCCTACCTGGACCTCAATTTCTCACCACTTGACTCCCCACGAGTATCCAATTCGCGCTCTCCCAACCCACCAATGAGTGCCGAGCAGGATGCCCAGTCTCAAAAACAAGCCTCATTCCCTTCGGCATTTGAAACGGGGTCCCCCGCCGCATCTACTCGCTCCAAACTTTCCCAGCGGGTGCATGAATCCAAATCCACCTCCCAAATCCCCGCCTCCCAGGCATCCGAAGTGATCGACCTCACTTCCAGCCCACGTGAATCACCTGAACCCAGCATCTCCAATTCGAACCCATCACAGCGCTCCAAATCTGCAGTGTATGGGAAATCGCAACGTGATGAGGACATTCCTCACTCGTCTGGACGTCCACCCCGAGCTTCTACGGGGAGGCTCCAGCACCTGGTGGAAGTGAGTATTAGTCCTTCCAGTCAAAAGAAGAGACGCTCGTCGCGAAAGTTCTGAGATATGCTTTATGGATAGTTATCGAAGTTGAAGAGATATGGATGTACTGTTGGCATTTTACATTGTCTATATATGTATGGACGCAGAGCGATGGCGTCTAGGAACCTTGC